AACATAAATGATGCTCTAGTCGATGCAAAAGACCCCGCACAAATCAAATGCAATTTTGATTTCTGTCAATTTACCTGAAATTTTGGGAGAAAGTGTGCTGAACAAGGGGGAGTAGTTTTCGTGTTACGCTCTCGTGAATCCTCTGATGCTACGTATAGAAAAAACTAAATGATCTACAAAGGGGGTAAGTACACCACTTGTGAGATATCGAAATCGAATTCATGTTAGGTTAGGTTTGGTAGGTATGGGTGTATGTGTGTGTGGGTGCATTGTCGGTGTGTGTGTATACAGGGTCATACAAAGAGGCCACTCGTTGGCCGTGAGTGGCGCAAAGAACAGGTGATATAATTAATGATATGACAGTTGATAGATGTTAATGTATGTGGAATATAGTAATGAAATATAGCTTAACTAATCAGCAAACTTCTTGAATTTCTGAATTCGATTTGGACATCTCACAAGTGCATTTTATGCTGCTTGCTCGATGTCACTTGGGAAATCTGAACTTGAATCAGCCATTTTATACTAATGAAAATATCAAACGAGTCTATTGTTGTTTGACGGATACTTCAAAGTGACAGGCGAAGTGTAACTCTGATGATTTGCGGGATCTCGCGTCGGTCATCTTATCGTTACAAAAAAGGACGCGTTTTCTACCTGGTTACCTACGTAAATATCTAATTCTCAACTCATTTAGAGTAATTAGAAACATCAATTCGGTTTATTGAACAAAGCAAGTTTTGAGCCTACACTGGAAAAACTAATTTGATTTTTTCCTCAGTTTTGATGAGATGTTTTACTATGAGCAGATTTTCCTGATATATTTTGATCCACCTACAATTAAGGTTTATATCATTTAATACACCTACAAAAGATTCGCAATTTCGTAAAAAATATATTCTTTTTTTTTATGTTCTGGTTCTCACGAAAAGGGATATCCTGTAATGTTCCGAGAACATCGTGAGAACCAAGAGAAATAAGGTAGGAATAGGTGTTCTTCTTGAATTTCTGGAGGTTATATGCCTCGGGGAACACCTCCCTTGGCAATATGTTCCAGAGCCTCGCTGTTCGTTCGGTGAACGAATCTTTGAAAAGAGATGTTCTGCAGGTCTCGAAAGTGACCACGAAGAGGTGCGAAGCCTCAATTCGACGGGTTAATCTCGCGGGGACTGCCAAGGGATGAACAATTGTTGATTTTTCAGAAGAGCATTGTCCACGGGAATATCTATGAAATAGAGCCAGATCGCCAACTTTTCTACGGTGTTCCAGAGAAGTGAGTGAGTTTGTGAGCGAGGCATCCCCCACGAGACGAATTGCCCTTTTTTGGACAGAATATAACAGTTTCAGGGCATGCTTGGGTGCTGCACTCCAAATATGGGAAGAGTATTCCAGGACAGGTCGGATATGTGCCTTATAGATAATAAGCAGCTGACTGGAAGTGAAATAGCTCCTGGCCCGAAACAGAAAACCAAGTCTTTGGGATGCACTTTTAGCAATTGCTCTCACGTGATTTTCCCAAGAAAGGTTATTGCTGATAGTAACACCAAGCATCGGAATGGATGTGTTCAAAGGTATGGTTACTCCTGACAAGCTTATGTTGGGCACAGTGAGATCGGCTTTTCTAGAAAAAATGCATGCTTGTGTTTTGTTTGCATTGAAATCTACCAAGTTATTGGATCCTTCTTTATGTTGTCAACATTTCTCCCTCGTTCCTTTCTGATTTGCCTGGCTGGTATTGGAGCCCTGGAAGAGAAGGCGGTATGAAGGGTACTATCATCTGTGAAGCTGTGTACTGGACATGAAGTTGCTTCCAACAAATCGTTGATATGGAGTAGAAATTGTTGGTGCTAGATTTGATCCTTGCGGAACACCAACACTTATGATCAGAGAGTCAGATGAAACTCCGTCGACCACTACATGGAGACACCTATTTGAGAGAAAACTAGCTAGCAGAGAACATAGCTGGGGAGGCAAGCCATAAGATGGAAGCTTGGCGAAGAGTTCGTGGTGCCAGACTCTGGTCTCTGATGACGAAAGCCATACTGCCTATCGTTGATAATACCAGAATGTTCCAGGTATTTCATGAGCTCGATGTTGATAGCTTTCTCCATGATCTTTGAAATAATAGATAGCAGTGCGATCGGTCTGTAGTTGCTAGGTATGGTCTCTTTGCCTTTTTTAGGAACTGGTTGTACTCTTGCAATTTTCCAGTTGGACGAGAATATCCCCAATTTGTAAAGTTGAACAACTTGCAGAGATCAGGTGTTATAGTTCGGGGGCGCATTTCTTGAGAACAATCGGTGGGATTCCGCAATGATGGCCTATATCTTGAATATACCGTTTCAGCCAGTTACATACTCATAGGTACAGTCGTCTACAGAGATCATGTCGCACATGGGCGGTGTCAGCTCCCTTGATCACTGCTGCAATAAGAGCGCTCATACCGTCCAACCGCGACATGTTCGCTGAAGACAATTGTAACTACTATATTGGTGAGTACCTCCTGTTTATTTTTTGTCACTCAGGTGAGTAAATGTTACACATATATGTACAGGGTTATTCACCAAAGAGTCCAACCCTTTTATTCACGTTATTTTTCACAGCCAAAAAAATACAATATGCGGAAGTAGAATGCAGTGATAATAAGGCCTCAAGACGGTTTGGCCAATTCTAATGTCATTTTCACAGCTTTTGGAACAATGTTTATCTAAAAAATTGTAAACAATACTTTTATAAATTATGAATGATGGTCTAGGGTTGATTTTAATAAAACTATTCATTCAAAACAAGTAAACCATGCATGTGTTGCTCTGGGAGCGTGTTGAGTCTTCGAAGTATGGAATAACAATCTCTGTATGAAAAGTTCTTGAGAAAAATTGAGATAATAATCCTGCAGTTACGATTCTAAGAAAGTATCATATTCTTGCTGATGGCGTCACGTTCTTGATAACTCTAGAAGAGGCGATGAAGGCGATGCAGTTGGATATGGAAACATCCATATAGTGGGCGATGAAATGTTGTAGGCTGGTACAGGATATAACTTATATATTTTTTTTGTTTTTTTGCTTCGTTATCCAGACAAAAATCAAAAATGAAGCTACGAAGTTTGGAGCCTTTTTGTTTTCCTCTCAAAATATACAGAAAAAGTCATAATTCCTTTTAAGTGATGCGCTTCACAATGATGAGAGAATCCATCGTAATAAATCATAAGACTAGGTAGTTAACTGGTCTACCATTTTTTCAATTCAGGTCAGCCTACTTGAAACACAATTAAATACATCAATTCAATTTCAATTATTCAGCATTCTCAGACCGCAAGTGAACTTTGAACTGGGGCAGTGAGATAATATAATATGTGATCAGGAGGGTACTATTGAGAAAGGGGAATTTCAAAACAATTTTACCCTCAAGTTCGAGGCTCCCGACTTTTATTTTTATCTCTTGGAGCGCACGAAAGGAAATTTCTATAATGTTATAGTTAGCCAATTAAATGTTGTATATATTCTCCGAATTGCTTTGAGTTTATTTTTGAATAATGTCAATGGTTCAATTGTTTTCAAATTACTGGGTGAGTGATTATATAATTTGGGACACAAGTATGGAAGATTGTTTTTTCAGGTCTTGGTACTGAAACTGAGTTCAATCTGTATCTTGTTTGATATTAATGACTTATCTCAATCAGATTCGATTCTTAGTTATCTAACTCTAACAGCAAGTGAGTATAGTTGCTTCAGATAAAAAAAAATTGATTCATGATGAAGTTGTTCCGTTGGGTAAGTGTAGCACATCTTCATTATTAATGCACGTCAACATACAATAAGCGATTGTGTGATATGTGCGACACCGAATTCATAAACAGAAATCAATATATTACAATTCTGAAGTTCAACATCATGCAAATGAATGAAAAAAAATCGGGTGCTCAAAACCGTAGGTTTACAAGGGTGGCCCGTAACAGATAAATAAACAAATGCGAATCGCAATAGAGAAAAAAAGAGTCCAAATCAGTTTCTTTAAATGGAACACCTTGTATATTTTCAACTTTTGAGAAATATATTTTTCTTCTGTTCACAAATATTAATTATATATAGTTTAGTTTGCTAATGTTCCCTTAAGCCGTTTTCGACTAAATTCTTGCTGCACTACTGAAATTTTTGCAATATTTTCATTATCAAATCTTACTATCTCGTATTATTCCTCTACGGAATAACCCAATTTTATTGAAAAGCTGACAAGATATGTTGAAAAATGCCTGTTACGTTTCCATGGCATTTCTATTGTGTCCACAGTCATCTTCTTGATTCAATGCTGAATAAGTGAAAAATACCTTGAGTATATAAACATTAGCAAACTATACATATTCGTGAACCGGAGAACTAGAACACTAGAGTTAAAAATATACAGGGTGTGCCATTTAAAAAACTATTCAAGGAGTGCCAAAAGATGAAACTCTACAAGTTTCATATGTGAAGATTTTTTCCACCTGGTATAGTTGAAGCTGTACTTCCTCGAATATTGAGACTCCCCAAGCCATAGAGTCGCTATTAGTTATGCGATTTTGTAGAACAAAGAAGCAAATGAAATTGCTCATCAGATACTATAATTATTTCACATTTCAACTGTTCCGTCAGCAACTGTCAACTTTTTCTTTTCAGATAGCATCATATTCTAATTGCTTTCATTTTCTGTTCAAGATTTTTTTCTGAATACAATGATGTGTGACAAGTTGACTTCTGGACAAAATTAGTTGAAATAAGAAATAAATGCACATTTTACAGGAATTATAGATACCTGTTTTATTTTTATTTAGGTAAAAAACGGAAACATAAATGAGTAACATCAATGATTAAGTAATCAATACTGGACATAAATTTTGTTTTCTATTTTATGCAGGTAGGCGGTGCTTACCATTCCTTTCCCTTACGAGCCGCCACTGCCCTACTCTGATTATAGGATTGCTACAATAATGAGAATATCTATGGAAGAATCTCTATATAATTATACACGATTAGGGAACATTCGTGATTGTGATAATGATCATTCCTAGTCTTATCAACAATGGTAATAGGTTGTTTTCACACATTCAACCTGTATCGCGCGTTGAGTGACCATGTCTCTGTCTGTGATAAGAGGTGTTTTATCAATCGGGCGACAAAAAACATATCTGAGAAAACATGTATTTTCGAGTTCGAGGACCCTAGTTACCACAGATTGTTCACATCCGAATGTTCTGAAAAGCGAATTAAGTGATGTTGTTGTACCTGATTGGACGATATGCGAAATGCTTTATCCAAAACTGGAACTATACCACAAGTACACTGCGGTAGTAAGTAAAATGCTCAAGTCACCAAATCATCTAACTATATAGTACTCGGTATACCTATAGTTTGAATTCGTGCTGATGATATTCCCTATTGATTTTTGATAATCTTTTGGAACGCACCAGATTAAATCTCTATTATGACCAGGGCCGGATTATCCAGAGGACTAAGCAACTGCCTAGGGGCCTCGCACCGACTAGGGGCCCCATGCACGAACAAACAAAAAACGTTTCATTGAATCGCCTAGCGTCTAATTTTTATTTCCTGATTCATCATGATACCGCCGGATCATTACTTACCAATATAACTAACTATAACCTATTCATTCAAATAATTTCAATAAAACCAGAAAGCAATGAGTCAGGCGATTCTGCAACGAAATAGCGCGTAACAAAACAGCTCGTTACAAAACAGCTAATAACAAAATATAGCGCGTTGTGAAATAGCACTAATTCCAAAATGATTAGAAATAATGAAAAGCATATACTTACAATTCAACTCTTCGTTGGACTATAACAAACAAGTCTGGAACCGCATTTGGAGCGTGTAATGAACATTTCAGCCTGATTCTGTTCTTTTTTCAGATGATTATAATCAATTTTTGAAGCGATCGATGATTGGAATCCAATGAATGTTGGAACGAATTGTGTCAAGCTTTCAAAGAGTTATTTGTCCTGGGAATTTTTTTGTATGCGTTCAAATACACTCAGATGCAAAAAAAACGCAACAAGTCAATATTCGGTCAAATTTAAAGTCTCATAACTTTTCAATTTTCGGTTCGATTTTCATAATTTTCCGAACCAACTGTAGATTGAATGACTAATTCCAACTTTCGTTGAATGCTGGCGAATTAGTCATTATACAGGATTGAATGAAAGATCGTCGATCGTATTACCATAATTTCTAAACACCCTGTGAAATAATTTCGTTGCCAAATTATTTCAAAAAATCATTTCCCGTTAGGAACCGTTCCTTTTATAGATTTTGACTTCTGATTCATGTCTGTGAGAGCACTGGTTCATTTTTAAGAGCGAAATGAACTCGTCACAACAGTTTAATTAAGTAATAGTATATTATTCGACGAGCGTGTAATGAAGTTTGCGACGTGAGCCGCAGGCGAACGTCGTAATCATTCGAATGAGTAATAGCCATTACACGCAAGTAGAATACTATACTTTTTCTATGACTGAGTGATGAACTGGTTGAGTTCATCAGCAGTGAATATCTTCGCTTTCTTTGACATATATCGATCAGATTTCCTTTTTAGAAATGCTCGTAATTTCAAATATTTGTCAATATTCCCATAATTTTCCATTGAAATCGTGCTTCTTAGTATATGCATGGAATACTGTGACCACAAGGAGGATGCTTTGTGTTTAGCTGCTAATTCGCCAAAATAGGCTAGCAGTACATTATCCGAAAACGAATTTGCAAGTTTTGCTTTTCGCCAAACCACTTCATACCTTTTTTTAGATTCCTCGGGCAAAAGGCTGATTGTACTTGAATTGGCAGCTTTCGAAACTTCTGATGGTGGAGAGCAGTTGAATTCATTTTCGCTTTCTGAATCCATATTTGTACAAAAAGTCAGTTCTAAATCACGCCAGATAGCTATTGTCAAATTATGACATTTCATGACGAGTCTGATTCAAACGTTTCACTGCATGCCCCATATTATCATTACAACTGGTGTCAACTGTTTTGTAGGTAATGAATCTACTTTGTTGCTGATTGGCCATAGCCTGTTGTGTAAAGGCTCTTACACACGGGGCGTGGCTTGTTTTGTGTAATGCATCCAGTTACCCAACAAAAATGTTACATTAAAAGGGTCTATAGTTTTCAACAGTCATAGAAAAATGTTATTTTTTGGCTTTGATTATTGTTGTCCCTAGTCGAATTGACAGTGATTTCTTATTCAAAACCTATACCATTGTCCTATAGTCCTGCAATGGTTTTAGGTGCGGAAATTGTGCAAAAGCCATTGACAGACTGGCGGAAATAAGCATAGGGCAGGTAGTGGCAAAAAAACAAAAAACTACTGCTACTAATGACAGAATTCTTCACGTTAAAATTCTGCGGGATCGTCACTTAACATTAGTGGAGTCAACTCCAAGAGGTTCGAGGTACAAATGTAAGTGTATGGACAGTTCGCCGAAGATTGAAGGAGTTTGGTTTGAAAGTTTGCAGATCAGGAACTGGGCCCAAATTGCTACCGCGTCACCGAGTATAGCTAGACTGCAGTTTGCCACTGATTAGAACAATGGAACATTGTTATTTTTTCTGACGAATTCAGATCTTGCTTATATTCTACAGATCGACGGAAAAGAGTATAGAGAAAGACCGGAGAAAGATTTGCAGGCTTTATCCTAATGCAGTATAATGCACGGCCACATACAGCGATATGTGTTTCACAATACCTCGCGGAAGTTGACATTCAAAAATTGAACTGGCCAGCATATTCACCTGATCTCAACCCGATTGAGCATCGCGAAGTAGCTTCGGTTACAGTAAATGAACTACGTATTGCCCTTCAGGAGGAATGGCACAATATTCCTCAAGATGCTATTCATAACCTTATTGACAGTATGAAGCAACGTACGCAGGCAGTTATAAGAGCGAGATGTGGTTAAATATTGAGCTGATTCTTTGTAGAAAGTACGTTTTTTAGGATGATTGTTACAGTTGAAATTTAATTTCAAAGTGAAATTGGAGTTTGCATGAGTAAATTTCTTTTTTTTTCCAAGTTCAAGTTCATTTCGCTGTAAAAACTGAACCAGGGCTCATAAAGACATGGCTCAAGAGTCAAAATGTAGAGGAACAATGGTTCCTAATGAAAAATGGTAGTTGGAATGAATTTGGTCACGAAACTATTCCACAGGGTGTTTTGAAATTAGGGTTATACAACAACCTTTCAATTAACCCTGTATAATGACTAATTTGCCAGCATTTACCAAAAAACTGGATATACAAGTTGAAATTAGTCATTTTATCTACAGTTTGTCGAAAAAATTATAAAAATCAAATAGAAAATAAGAAAGTTATTCGACTTTAAATTTGACCGAATATCAACTTGTTGCGTTTTTTTGCATCTGAGTGTATATTCCAAGTAGGAACAGGAAATAAACGAGCTTTCAATTTTATTAGTTTTCTTTTCACGCATTTTTTCCACTGATCCCAGGCAATAGGTGCTTGTTGTCAAATTGAAACATCGAATGACGTATCCATGGTACTATTGAAGAATTTATTTTTCACAGCAACGAAGCAACGACCAACTCACTTGATAAGTTTGATAATAAATCATTGATAAATAGGTATAATGGCTAACGAGATATGTTTGAAATGTGATAACATTCAAACACTTGAAATTACAACGGAAATAAGCGCTATTTCAGACCGCGTTGTTTTGTCACAGCGCTGTTTTGTAACGCGCTGTTTCGTTGAAGCATGAACCATGTTGTTACAATATCACACGAGAGATTGAAGTAACAGGATACCAAAGGACTCTATCTGATCGACTCGACTTTTGTTATAGAAAAAATGTGTTTCAAAAATTGAAAAAAAGGTAAAAGAAAGGGGAGAGGGGCCCCAAGAATTGCTTTGCCTAGGGGGCCTGATAGGGTTAATCCGGCCCTGATAATGATCGTGGAACATCGTGCGTATCTGGGATAGATAACTTCCCAATGCAAAGAATTACAAAACGTTGCCGTTCTATGGACGAAGGAGTTTTATATATCGAAGGTAATGTCAATTGTCAGCAGACTGAGAACGGCTGATGGGGTCTGGTGGGCAGAAACAGTACAATTGAAGAATGAAGGAAGATAGCTTCTAGATTCATTTTCATGCAATGCAGTCCATCTATCCCTATAATCAATGTTTCGATGTCTCATGGGGATGAAGCCTGCACTCTGCAGCGCCCATGTTTTTCGTTTTTTTAAATCTATGGTAGAAGTCCATATTTTCTCAAATGCTGCTGATGATGGCCTATTGATAATACGAAACATGTTCAGATGTTGAATGATATATATGTATATATATATATTAAAATTGCAAACATGATTCTCTACTCTCATATACTGAGTCGTATCAACTATTTAATAAATGTTTGGGGATCTTGTTCAAAAAATAATTTCAATAAAATATCAACATTATATAGAAAATCGTTAAAAGTATTGTATAGTCTCCCATTTGATACACCAACCAATCAATTGTATGAAATAACAAATACGTATTCTTTAGATGAAATATATAGAATTGAAACTCTCAAAATATCATATAATATCATAAATAAAAAATTGAAGTCGAATATTATTTTGATACGGAATTCCGAAATTCATAATCATGAAACTAGACAATATAACTTGTTCCATCTTGACGCCGCTAGCTCCCTAATCGGACAAAAAAGATTCACTCATTCAGCCTTAACTGAATTCAATAAACTACCTGATAATATAAAAAATTGCAGAAATATAGGTATATTCAAAAATGAAGTAAAAAAACTGATTATTTCTCAGCGGACTGGATAAAATTAATCATGCCATTTTTTTATTTTTTTTTTATTTACAAATATTATTCTTTGTTTGCCAATTTACAGTTGTTGATATACAGGGTGTCCCTAGACCAGTGGGACAGTTGAATATCTCCTGAACCAATAGGAATTTTCAAAATATTATAATTTCACATCATATCGCATTATGAGTGCTAACTTCAGGAATGATTATATTTTATACGAGGTGCGCAAGAAAGGCTCACAAAATCGAACATGATTTTTTTCAAATGGAACACCCTGTATTTCATTGCATTTTCATATTCTCCTTGAAGAGCTGAATTCACCGACCTATCACACTTGGGGTCTAGCGGGAATGATTTCCGAGATATAGGGTGTGGAAAATCGAGATTTTTCGTTTTTAAGAATTTTTTGTGTTTTATTCGTCTGAGGTCGAAACTATTCATTATTGGTCAAAACGGCTTACATGTCCATATCTTAACTTTTGATTTACTATTTACTCGTATTTAATTGAAACAAATACAGGGTGGTGTAGAATTCTGACTGAAACTGTTAATTCTACACCACCCTGTATTTGTTTCAATTAAATACGAGTGAATAGTAAATCAAAAGTTGAGATATGAACATGTAAGCCGTTTTGACCAATAATGAATAGTTTCGATACAAAAAATTCCCAAAAATGAAAAATCTCGATTTTCCACACCCTATATCTCGGAAATTATTCTTGCTTGACCCCAAGTGTGCTAGGTCGTTGAACTCAGCTCTTCAAGGAGAATATGAAAATGCAATGAAATACAGGGTGTTCCATTTGAAAAAATGTATGTTCGATTTTGTGAGCCTTTCTTGCGCCCCTCGTATAAAATATAGTCATTCCTGAAGTTAGCACTCATGATGCGATATGATGTGAAATCATAATATTTCGAAAATTCCTATTGGTTCAGAAGATATTTAACTGTCCCACTGGTCTAGGGACACCCTGTATTTTGAATGATGCTATGTTTACCTATAGGTATATAATTATGTACTTCCTTATACCAGAGCCTATTCTGTCTGGAAGTTATTTGTTCAATAAATAAATAAATAAATAAATAATATACAATATACTTATATTATATAAATATAATAATACATTATTTGTGGAGATGACTTGTTTCTGAAATTTTGTTTTGTTTATTTAACAGCATTGAGCACTTCCCAACTTCCAAAAAGAATGCCACCAATACAAATCAAAGCAAAAATACTACAAAGAATAAATTCAACGTAACTTATTTTTGTATTTAGTACGCGAAATGCTACTTTTGTTAACGAAGCACAGCCGAGTTAAAAAATAGTCCAGATGACCAAATAATTTCGCGCACAAGTTGCAAACAACATTTTTTCTACAAACTATAGTGCGAAAGTAGTAATATGCTTAGCTTATTATTATAAAGAATTAATGGACAAATCTAATAAGTCAAAGTGGACCACTCTGTATAACTGAAGGAGGATCGAAATATAGTTAATCACCCTATACAATGTGCAATTCAACTTGAATGAACAGTTTTTTTTTCAGGAATGTGCTTCGAGTGGAAAGAGTTATACCTTCGGCCAAATTCGTATGAAAAGCAGAAATTTCAGCAAAGCCCTGAAAGAAAAACTGAAATTAAAAAAAGGGGATATAGTTGCAATTTTAGTGAAAAATATTCCTGAGTTTGGAATAGCAGCATATGGAATTTTTGAGGCAGGATTAGTGGTAACAACGTTGAATCCGGCATATACTCCAGGTAAATATTCAATATTCATTCTTTCTGTATACACAGTTTGTACTTAATTCCCTAATTTGATCGATGGTCGGCCATAAACGGAATTTGATAAATATACAGGGTGTCTCCGTATATTTTGACTTCTACCTACAGCTTTAACTATACGAGGTGGAAAACAACTTTAAATATGAAGGTTGTATAGGATTTCGTCTGTACTATCTTTTAGCATTCCTCACACGAACAGATACGAATCGCAAAATGATAAAAAAATATTACAAATCAGTTTTTTTGCATGAAACACCCTCAACTTTAGTGAAGGATCATTTTCTTCTTTTCACAAATATGTAGGTAGGTATATACATATTTTGCTAATGTTTCCTCATTCAATTTTTCATTTATTCAGCATTGAATCAAAAGTTGCCAATAATATGTAGATGAGAATGGACCATATGGTAACAAAACAGGCATTTTTTGATATCTTAGTCGGTTTTTCAATTAAAATTTCGTAGAGGAAAAATACGAAATATTGAGATTACATTATGAAATTATTGCAAACATTTTAGTAGTGCAGCATGAATTTAGTCGGAAACTGCTTAAGATACCATTAGCAAACTATATACAGGGTGAGTCATAACTATTGGGACATGGGCTAAGGGCGAATATTGTTTGGAACAAAATATGGCAATTGGACCTAAAAGTTTGCTGTGGAAGAAGAACACCATCAGGAAGGCAACAGTACAACGATCATCCTGTTACACGCATCTCAGATGATTCCTACATGTACCAGCCTATTTCCGAACACTCAATATATGTCGCGGTGACAAATAACGTGACAGAAGATTCTGGAATGTTCTGGAAACAATTGATGGAACAATTAGAGAGAGAGGTTTTGTTCTAAGAAGCTTCTAGAACAAAAAGAAGGGTACGGAAGATCATTCGAGAACGTTCTCGAACCAAAGCCTACCAAGGGATCTCATATATAAACGGCCGGACAACTGCCGTCAGTCAGTCTAGCATCGAGTGTCAGAGAGACAGTTATATACCGCGCGATATAAATCGTTTTACATAAATAGTAGTTATCAGTTCGATATAAATTAGTGTTTCTTTAGTTCAAATAAATCAGTTCGAAAATAAATAGTGTCGTGTTCGCTTCTGCACCCGAATAACGTAACAGTATTTTCATCAATTAATATCAAAATCGGCACAGAGACATACTTTTATACAGGAAATAATATTTTATGTATTATTCTACGATTTTTTATAGAGGAGGCGCCACGTGAATGATTCCTGATGATGAAATCGACTGATAACTTTTTTTGACCAAACTTTTTTATGATTTCGATTAAAAAATATGACATAAACATTATTTCTACGTAATATTGGTACTCTTGTGCAAACACGATATTTTCATTAGTTTTCGACAAAAAAGCAATTGAACAGTTCAAAGTCTCGGAAGGGGATTTCAAATATCATTTCATTTATGAAGAGTGTGCTTTGGACTGTCAGATAATTTTTGCTGGTGAATTATACATTTCCTGTCAGTGAATGAATTTTGGTGCGAGTTTATAGTCAATACTTGTTCAATTGAATCGCCCTGTATCTTTTTCCACAGCAATATTTGTGAGATTAGTTTTCGTAGTTTCAGTAACTCCTGATGTATTATATATCTGAATCAGACTATGTTGTGTTTCGGTGTTGTCAATTCTGTAAAGAAAAGTTATAGTTTTTTAGTATCATGGCTTTTATATGATTGTTTGCATACACTTTTCCGTGATTTATGAATGAATCGGCAAGCGCCAAGCAGAGTTGCCGCTTCTATTAGGAATTATACACGGAAAAAAGGAATTGTTGAATCAAGTAAAATTTAATTGAATGAAGCAAATAAAAGTGTCATATATATGCACGACAAAATATAATCTTGAAATGAGTAAATCTATATCTTGTTTCAGAGCGAATTTGAAGTTTGAATTTGAATTAAGTAGATATGTCTTGCATGAACTCTGGATCCTATTCAATCAAGCACATCCATGAATTAGTTATGAAGAGATATTGAATTGGATCAAGCAATCATTTTGTTTGATTTGAAGAAATATTTGATATTTGGTTGATTCAATGAATCATTTGGTTGATTCAATGAAATATTTGGTTGATTCAATGATATATTTCGTCGATTCAATAGAAACTGTATTTCCATTGGACAAATTGTTTGGTTGAACCAAATTCAGTATTAATTCGGGAATTTTCTGAAATTTCATATCAATAGAATAAACTTAACTAGAAAACTAGTCGACTTCTAGTAGAGATCTTCACTTCTCTTCATCAGCTAATGCAAAACTGTTTCGGATTGCTAATCATCAAGTTCGATTTATCCAGATGATAATTCAAACACGAAGAATCAGGCTTCACGTATATTATGAAGTCGAGGCAGGCATAGACGAGACGAAATGATCGCCATTTAGAGGCGAAAATTTTTACATGAAGTGAAATGAACAAAATATTTCATTGATTTTACATATTTCGTTGCTCTATTCAAGCAAATGATCCGTTCGAAACGAGTTCATTGCTACATCGGAATAAGTCTTTTGTATGTCGTTTCAAAGATATATCCTCATCAAAATGATCATTATTTGATCAAATCAACAAAATGTTCATAGTTGAATCAACATCGACATTATTTTGGATCGGCATAATTTGTTATTGATGAAACCATATATTTTGTTAATGGAATTGATATTATACTGTTGATTCAATTAGACTATATTCTTGATTTGAACAAGCTGCTTAATTCCATGAAATAATCATGTATCTGGTTCATTCAACAAAAAATTGCTTAGTCCAACAAAAATATATCAAGCATAAATAATTTGTTGATGCAACAAATCCTTTTTTTCCTTGATAGTATCAACTTCGATATTTTGATTGGAATGAAATATTTTTAATATTCTAGATGAAATCAAGAAACAACTACTAGATTCAGGAGCCAGAGCTATTATTACACAGGCTAGTGATTTCTGCAAAGTGAAGTCTGCCTTGGAGATAATGCATTCTCAGATACCCATCATTGTTATTAAAGAGAAGGTAGGGTTTTAATGTCAAAAGATCACAAAACAATTATCTACAATAACTATGACATTTCTTGTTGTGAGCTGATTGATTCATCCGATGATATTATTTCGTTTTGAACCCTCTGTGACTGTTCGAACTGATCGAATTGAAAGAAGTCAAGGTTGATGTTGATCAAGAATTACAACTTCAATGAGTATCAAGACGTGTATTGTATTCTATTTCGTCTAAATTATATTTAATTATTTTAAGTTCATGTTTTTGGAATAAAATGAATACACAATGAGATAATTCGTACGTGGATCTGCAACTAATTATTTTAGAAAGTACAAGCTTTGAGATTCAATGAGCAGAACGTATAAATGTCTTGGTTTGAATACTTTTTTTTGATTATTTTTTTCACATTTCGAAATGTGACGTTCTCGTTGTTTTCAACCAATAGCCAATCATTTGGTATCATACTGAAAATTCCAGGTACAAAATAGCCACAATGCTCAGAGGGGAATGACATGTTGAATAAATACAAAAAGCTCAAAGTGATTTCCAAACAATGTTCATATAAATAGAGATTTCCTTTTGAAGAAATTGAACAAATATGGAATAGGCGGAAAGGTTTTCGAATGGTTTCAGAGCTATCTACAAAATAGAGAACAACTTGTTAAATACAATAACACTTACTCAAATAGGGAAAAGGTCATGCATGGAGTACCACAAGGATCGGTACTGGGACCAATATTATTTATTTTATTCATAAATGACATTATACATCACGTCCACAATTGTAAGCTGAAACTATTTGCGGATGATACCTTGCTTTACTTCTCTGGCAAGAAAGAGGATGTGGAGAAATTCTTGAATGAAGATCTTGAGAATATATTCACCTGGATCTGTGACAATGGACTCAGAATTAATGTTACAAAGACGAAATTTATGATTATATCTTCGAAAGCAAATTCAAAAATGATCCAGGAAAATAAAATGAAATTCAATATTCTGATAAACGGAGAAATCATTGAAGAAGTGAAAATGTTCAAGTATTTGGGAGTGATCATTGATAATCAACTGAATTTTAACAGTCATTGTGAATACATTAAAAAGAAAATTGCGCGAAAAATAGGTTTCATGTACAGGCTTGGTGATAAAGTATCTCATTTCACGAAATTAACAATTTGCAAGTTAATAATTTCACCTCATATTGATTATTGTGGTATTTTACTGAGTTTCTTGAGTAACGAACAGATTAATACACTGCAAAAAGTCCAAAATCGTGCAATGAGAGAGCTATCTTGGGTTGTAAAAGACGCACACCAGTCACAACAATGCTGAACACATTGCAATTAATGAATATCAAGCAAAGAGTTTCATATAATACACTAATTTTTGTTTATAAATTGAAAAATAACATGTTGCCTTTGTATTTATCAAGTGAGCTATATTATGTTCAAGATGTACATTGTCACAACACCAGAAGACAAGCAGCGAATGATTTCTATATAAATTCAGTAAATATTGTCTGTGATACTTTATATACAAAAGGTCTGGTATTGTTCAATAATTTGCCCTGTGAAATGAAAAGATGTGTGTCACTAGATAGTTTTAAAGAATCGTGTGTGTTATTTGTGAAAGAAAATTATTGATTGATCAATTGAGAAAGGAGAAATCTGTTAATTACCCTTATATTAAAATATGTGACGTAATTCATGTGTCTATGTCTTAGTTCTATATTTCTATGTTTTTATTTATTGACTTATTGTATTTTATTGTAGATTTAACTGTAATGAAGAGCACTGTGCTAATAAAGTTTGATATATAAGATGAACAACAATGGTAGATTTCTGAAAAAAACTACTTTCGTGACTTATGCCATGCAGAATTACATCCTCCCGAAATTCTTTCCTGAATGCGTATTGATTTCGATTTAGCCAGGCCACGCTAGGCATCTACAGACCGGTTTCGAGCTCTTTGACTCTAGTCAGTGCAGGGCAGTCTCCAGCCAGCAGTCCTAAGACCACTGGCTAAGCATAGACTAGCCAAACAAAAATCAAGTCGGCATTATATTTCCTCAGATGCGTCCTTTATAGACAATATGGGAGCAACGCCATCTAAGTAGAGAAGAAGGAAAGAAACACTCCGAAACCAAAAAATCCCAAAGATTTTTGAAAAAAAAAAAACGAATATTTGCAATTTCATTTTTATTTTACTATATTTGTTTAGATGTAACAAAACAAATTACATAGTCTCATTGCTACTTCATCTGTTCTTCAAGATGGTGTCATCAGATTTTCAAACCGTCGTTTCGTCTTTGAGTTGCCAACATCAACTTCGTTTTTTTTCAATAAATTTTGTATAATTGATTTTAAGGGCTTTGGATCTTCTCAAATTAACGGTGTATTGCACTTAAGAACTTATGTGTTAGAGCGAGTGACAGATAATAGATGCTCGATAGGATCAAAAACAAACACCTTTTGCGAATAAGTTATAATAAAAAATCCAGGGCCGTATAAAAAAAAAAACAAGTTAAAGAAACGTTGGTTCGAAAATCTGATATCACCATCTTGTAGGACCGATGTGTAATTTTTTTGTTACATCTATTCAAATATAGAATCATAAAATAATGAAATCGCGAACATTGAGTTTTTCCAAAAATCTTTCGAAGTATTTGGAATTATTAAGAATTCAAAACGGCATTTAATTAGGCATAAAACTTCGCAACTTTGCCTCCTTTTAACTGATCTCAGATCTGTTGTACTCTCCGAGATCCCAATCAGCAAACATTTCGATAAGGGGCATTAATGGCCTAATATATTTTCCCCATGCCTGACATCAGCGGCCCAGTAAATGGTCCCATATGCGGGACTCTGTATATCAGTATACTGCGGCCGGCAGCTGGTCCCAGTGCTGGGTACCCAGCAATCATATTCTATTGCCCGGCAAAAGGCCAGTACAACATAATCGACACATTGAGTTTCCCATAGCAAGCCCAGTACATACATAAATGATGGGACTGTAATGGCCAACTATCGACATACATATTATTACATACTATCGAGGTAGAGGGTTTTTAGGGGTTCAATGGATCTGAAACTTGGAGTAACTCTATATTTCATAATGTAACCTCCTCATATATATCAAACTGATACATACCGGATTCCTAGGAAAATAGTAACTCTATATTTCATAATGTAACCTCCTCAAATTATATCAAACAGATACATACCAGATTCCTAGGAAAATATTTATAAATGACACAATATCTTCCTTAACCTCTCTGTTCTCCCATGATTCTATTGGATCTTTCTTTTATTTTATTCAGACCAGGGAAGAACCCCTCTCATCCTGATATCTATTATGGAACAAAATAAAAACGGTATTGAAGTTTGATGCGAACAGCCCTCCTGCCCCAAATAAGTTTCAGAAATACATTCTGAGAATTGAAAGAGATCGACCGGAATAAATAAATATCATAAACTTGAGAATAGTAAATTTGGTCATGATGTCGATATTTTCTCTAGTTTATGGATAATCTCGGTCTTTTGAACTTTGATTGATCACCTGGGTCATAATCAACTGCATTTCGAAGAAGCTGATTCTCATGAACCTCAGCTTTTTCTAAAGTCTTCATGTTTCGTTCTCTAATGACGGTCATGATTGAAGGGAGTTTCAGATCCCTGGCGATCTGGTTATTCCGAACATACCAAGGAGATCCTGTCACCATTCTCGCGTTTTGTAATGTTCGTAATCTGGTAATATGAGATTTAGCTGTGTTGCCCCAGATTACTGAGGCATATAGTAAAATTTTCCTGATAGCCATGATATAAATATTCAATTTTTGTCTCAAACCCAATTTACTTCGTCTGTTTAGAAATGGATACAGGGCTCCAATGCTCGTTTAGCTTCTGAAACTTGCTGTTCAATGTGCTGGGCCCAGGTGAGCTTTTTGCCAATGCACACACATAAGTATTTAACTTGTGAAGACCACTCTAACTCGTGACCATCCAATCCAGGACTATTCTGGTTCTGGGAGGCCTCCGCTTCCTTCCGAGTGCGACCAATTGTGTTTTTGTAGGATTCAATTTGATCTTAGGAAGTACTCCTGAAGAGAATTCAGTGCGCTCTGGAGGTTCATAGCTGCTTGCTCGGAATTTGTCGAATATGCAAGAACTGCCGTATCATCAGCAAAAAGCGACATCTTGCACATCACTGGTCTCTGCAAATCGCTAGTATATAAACTGTACAACAGCGGGGATAGAACTGCACCCTGAGGAACACCAACTTCAATGGGCTTGATACCAGATCGTTGATCATCAAGTTTTACTTGAAAAGTTCGATTTTTCAGAAATGAACACATCAACTGAATCAAATCGTCAGGAAAGCCCATATCGATCATTTTGTATAAGATACCATCATGCCACACCTTGTCAAATGCTTTCGCTATGTCAAGGAGAGCAAGATGGGTCTTTTGTCTATCATTTCTCAACGATAATGTGTTCTCAATGAGTCTCAAGACTTGTAGTTCAGTTGAGTGGCCAGTTCTGAAACCGAACTGCTCATCTGGTATTAGCTCGTTGTCGTCGATAAATTCTTGTAACCTCTGTTCAATCACTCGCTCAGTTATCTTAGATGGAGAGCACAGGAGACTGATTGGACGATAGCTCTGCGGAAGAGCATTATCCTGGCCTTGCTTCTTAAGCATCACTACTTCGACATGCTTCCATCTTTGAGGGAAATATAATAGTTTCAATATGGCGTTGATGATTGTACATTAGTAAGTGATGAAATTACCAGGAATCCTTTTCAATATTCTGTTTGTAATTCCATCATTACCTGGAGCTTTCCTGAGTTTTTGTGCTTTGATGTAGCCGATTATTTCATCCGTATAGAGGCGGGCCTTATTCTTAAATCGTGAACGTCATTATTCAAATGGGCCAGGACTACTCGCTCTAGGCAACCATCCCATTCCTGATCATACTCCTGCGACTCATTCAACCTGAATTGTGTTACAAGTGACTCAGCAAAGACTTCAGCTTTTTCGGCATTGCTGTACTTGACTCCGTTCTCTCCTCTTAGAGGAAGTATGACGGTTTTCTTATTCTTAACTCTTTTGATCAACTTCCAAAGGTTATTAGGACCTTCATCCAAATTTTCCAGTGTGGTCTGCCATCTTGAGTTTCGGAAATTATCAATCTCAGTTCTCACGATATTACGAGCTTCGTTATATTCCAATTTATGAGGACGATAGAGAGTTCTCATGGCTCTTCGTTTCAATTTTTTCATGATGAAACTTCTCAGAGTGACTGCTTACCAGGTAGTATCTACATCTACATCTTATTTGGATATCATTATTCCTTCAAAATGTGTTCTTCGTCGCTCCTGAAATATAAAATTCTTCAGCAGTTATCAGTGCGGCCTTTGTTGATATCAGAATTATGCCTCCATAGAAGTATGAGAAACGAAATACTGTTGCACGAGTTTATAACTTGATCAATATAGTCTGATAACGTGATAACATATGAAGCTTTTCAATTGTCATTATTTTTTTTGCAGAGTCATTTCTGTAGTTGAAACCTCATTGTTATTTACTTCTATAATAGACAGGTTCACATAATCTGAGATTACTTTTGATAGCAACGGATGAATTGAACATGATAGTTATGCTTCTGAAGAGATAGAGCCACTCCAATTGTTGTTATCACTAGGTATATAAGGTTATGAGATACCAAACATGCATTTCATTAAAAAATCAAAACACTAGATAGATTAGATAGGTAGATTGATACTTACTCAATATTATCATAATTGAAGAATCCGTCTTCTATATCATCAATTGAGAATAGTCCTGCCCTGCCATTTTAAATAACGACCAGGGAAAGTGGGGAGCACAATTATTCGACAACAAACCAGAGAAAAACGGAACTGCTATCACTAGAGTCAGATATGATGATGATCCGAATGATCAGCTGATTGTTGATGTAGAGGTTCCTAGAAAATCTACCAGGGGGACAAGTAGTGAACAGGATATGGGCCAGCAAAAAGCCACAACTCGTTAGTGTTCAACTGGTTCCAGACATCTTACCAAGGCCTTCATCGTATTTTTAACTGATGGTTATTTAGCATAGGGAAATCATCCATCCATTACCAATGCCCCGGCATCGTCACTTTCCCAGACTTGCCTGCACTAGGCCGGACTTCTACCGGTAGTTCAATGTTTGCTGAAGGTTCGAATTCCAGCCACCCAGTACATAACATTGAGGAATACCTTGTATGATGAATATTAATCAAATACAAAGATATAAAAATTTTCTTCCAACGATGTGTTACTAAAGTTTTTATTTTGTGTTTTCTCAGCAAGCAGACAGCATACCAAGTGGAGCAATCGATTTTTTCGAGTTTGCTGATACAGTAATCAATGTACCAGATATCGAACCTGGGCATACCTCTGATTTGGCTTTTCTGCCGTACTCTAGCGGTACCACCGGCTTACCAAAAGGTGTCGAACTCACTCACAACAACATAGTATCAAATATTTTCCAATTCAACCATAAAGATGTGTCTTTCTTGAATCCTCCTACAGGTGAGAAACACTAAATTCAGTATCTCTCTTTTTTCTAAAATATTTTTATGAAATGAACGTTCAATAGGAAACGAAATTCTTCAGAAATTCACGTTTTATCAACGTTTTCTTTGTCAAAATATTGGAATTGTCTACCTGAATACCACTCCAACCGAAAATGCTCATTTTTTTATGAAAAAATTTTCAACACATGCCATGTCCATGTCCAGCCACAGCACCTAGTATATTTCAATGCATGATATAATTCAATAAACGACCCTGATTATCCCTATATATTATTAACTGACCCGGAAAACGTTGTATTGCCATATACATTATTATTTTTCAGTTGAATATTCATCAACAAACTTTTATTATTTTATTTTATACTTTTTTTTTAGTTTGGTAATCTATCTCTTCAATTTTTCAAATTACTATTAATTTTCTACTCCTTTATAGTTTGGCTATCTATAAAAGCGTGTTTATTTAGTTTTCCTACTATTTATTATAATGCTCATCGTTCGCCATATATTGGATTCCCAATTATGACAAAAAAATCTTCTACCCGAAAGCCCCCAGAAACCAATTTCGAATAGAATCGGATCGTAATTACAAAGCTCGTCCGCCATACTGAATCCACCATCTCGAATTTTTCAAATTTTGATGAAAAATTCATAATCTCCGACGCCAAAAACCCTCAGATACAAATTTTAAATAGAATCGGATCATAATTAGAAATCTCGTCCGCCGTATTGGATCCGCCATCTTGAATTTTCAATTTGAAAAATTGCTTACGACCGATTCTCAGACCTACCAAATATTTTGAAGAATTTTCATACGAATCGGTCAAACCGTTTCGGAGGAGTTTGGTAACAACACCGTGACATTAGAATTTTATATGAGAGATTCACTAATTTCAACAAAAAAAAACTTTCAATGAATTCAATTTTTTCATATTTTATTCTGGCTGTGTCATCTATTCGATCTCAAGCATACTGGAGCAGCAATTGATAGCCGCCAAAGTATGAAGTGTATAGAACTTGGCCTACCTACTAAATTAAACTGGCCATTTTTATTGGTAACAGGGCTGCCATTCCATAGTTTCGCAATATGGCAATATCATTTCTCTATGTACATTTTTTAACTTTCACGCATTTGTGATTTCAAAATGAAATATATCAAAAACGAAATAAAATACAGGAAATCATCACACATCAACTCAAAACACTTATGAGACCGTTAAACGATGGAATTGGGTTGAAACAAAAAAGTTGTTTACGTAAATTATTATTAATACAAGATAAACATTACTGAAATAGACTTACAAACCAATTTTGTTCTTGTACAAGATTGTTATGAATTGTACTACAACATTATGAATCTGGATCAGTATACTAAAAAAGGAAACCTTGGGTAGTTAAAGTTCGGTACTTTATTTGGCTTATTGGTTTATTTCTGCCTTTCTGCCCCTCCTTGATACCATACCTTGCCATCTTGGCAAACTTAGCAAATATTGAATTGATTTGAATTTTTTTTTTCAGACAATTTTCAAGATGTCATTCCAACTGTACTACCGCTATATCACATATATGGCTTCACCGCTGGCACGGTGAATTCTGCCTATAATGGAACAAAATCAGTAACTCTAGATAAATTCAGTCCAGAATTATTCATTACGGTATTGAAAAATCATCGTGTAACCGTTATATATGCAGCACCACCCCTCAGTAAGTAGGTGTATACGAATTGTTTCTTAAAAAGATTTTTTTAAAGAACTAACGACGGAAACTTATTTTCAATTGGTGGATTTCAAGGTCATCGTCTGACGATTGCGATGACATTTAGCAATGGGGAAAACATTTCTCGCATATAGATTAGAAATCATAGACATGTTTTTCCTACTGATGAATGTCATAGCAACGTTATCTAATTACCTTGAAATTCGCCAATAAGTCCAGGTCTCTATAAATGATCTTAATGACCGTTGGAATGTGTTATGATGTGCCGCTTTCCACAACTATAACACATTCGCTCGCTTCGTTAAGGAGCTGAACTTATTGGGTGAAATATTAATTGATATAAGTGAGCCAGAATAGACCCATCAGGGTCGCAGTGGAAAGCTTCGCAAAACCACTCACTTATCAAAAACCTTCACAAATTGAAAACAATTTTTTTTATCTACAACTATCATTCATACATTGCAAACTCGATTTTCAACATTTAATGACAGACATTATTGTGATGAATCGAGTAATAAGAGTAATAATGACAGTAGGATGGCGTAATAATCTGACATCCCATCGTCTTGTCAAATTCAACTAGGTAGGTATCCGTTCTACTAGTTCAACTAAAGCACACCACTATACTACTGTTTGTGAATTACACGCAAATTCAAAAGACTCACCTTACATGGTTCTCATAGTTTTAATCACCTTATTTAATTCGACAAATACACGAAAAAATGAGAATTCACTGTTTTTTATTCTCAGCAGTGACTACCATCATGAGTAACCATGACCATAAAATAGGACTTGACACTTGCAGATTGGCTCACACTTATGTGCGGGCTATTCGAATAGATTAGTACAGACCAATCAGAACCATGGAACTTCATTGTTGATAACTAGCGTCTAGAGGTAGCGTAGTACAATTAATCATCGCGGTCAGGGAAATGCTACGGCGGAAGCAAGTAAATGAATAATCTGCAATAGTATGATTTATTTCACAACTGAAAAGTGAAATGGCATATAATACCTGGCAAGACTGAGTGATATGTGATTGCACGGCTTTTTTTTCTGTTAAAAAAAGTGTTATTAGATCCATTATTTTTTATCATATTTTCACAATCAAAATTATTTAAATAAGTTATAAGCTGTTCGTTGATTGAAATTTCTGTCAATAAGGTTTCGATGAAATTGATGAGTATTTCGAATCAGATTTAGTGATTTTGCAATACATAATAACCTTCATTACCTCCAAAGATATATTCATGAACTCTCAGAGTTGCTTTGATATTTGAATAGTTGTAGATAAAGTATATATAGTATTCTACTCGCACATAATGACTATTACCCACTCAGATGATTACAGCACTCGCCTTCGGCTCGTACTGCAACTTTCTCCTTCGTGGGTAATAGCCATCATTATGCTCTCGTTGAACAATATACTATATATATATATAATATAAAAGTTACTTACTGGCTATCATTGGGTGTTTTACAATATATGTAGGTACTATCAGTCCTTGGGTAGTACTTGTACTCTATTCTCTCTTGAAATTTCTTGACTTTTATTGTGAAAATCCTTCATAATATATCTCCAAAAGTTCAAAAACAATTCCAAAACCTACCCCCTTTCCTTATCCTTCCTAGGTACGCACACGATGTTCTTCGAATATCATAAGGATTCCCTTTCGTGCGCACCAAGCGATAACAAAATATGAGATCTTCCATTGTTGAATTCAATTTTTTTTTCTTCTAGTTCTGTTCCTGACTTCACATCAAGATGTTAAAAAGGAATATTTCAAATACGTCAAGATGGTCATTTCAGGTGGAGCACCATTAGGATGTCTAGATGAACAAAGGTTCACCGATAAAGTTGGTTCGCATGTTACTATAACGCAAGGTGAGAAAACAGTTATACCGGGTGTCCCAAGTTATCGTATACAGGCAATTTCTCGCTTATTTGACAAGATAATTGAAAAATTCGAAAACTGCATTGAATGGCATTGCAATACCTTCCTCATGACATGTATTGTTCTAAAATTGTTCTATCCGTCATTCGGTTGCCCCCTTACGAGCAACCCTCAGAAGTCTTCGAGAGTCTTGTGCGAGCAAGGAATGACGGGGGCCTTACCTTTTAACGTGTGATCCCAAACACTTCCTTGGGCCATCAGAAAAACTTCTGCAGTCGATGGGAATCGAACCCCACGACCGGCAAGCGAAAGCGGACTGGAATATTGACACTCTGTCCGCACGGCTACCTGGCCCCTTACACTCCCGAGAATAATTTGGAAAGTAAAGCCGGAATTTTTTTAGCAGATGTGACTTAGAGTAACCTCAAAAACTTCCTGAATTTTTTTCGAATTTTTTCAGGATGACGTAATATTATTTTCAGGACCCTCACAATCGTGTTATTTGAAAGCGAAATGGGATTTCATCTCAAAATAAAGAAATCGCTACTCATGGAAAAATAGGCATTTATTGTTTATGGTTTGTTATGGAAAGTGAGGAAACAATTACTTTTATTGTTCAAGCACAGGCATAGTCGTACATTGCATTTTTAACATCTCGTCCTTGAACGGCTACCGCAACTTCCCAGTCAGCAAGTCCGTGGTGATTTCGGAGAATCAATGACAGGCCAGTGATCAATTTCATCATATCGTTTGTCATTTGTTGAAATAGAAGCTTCTCTATTTGCAAGCAGAACGGTTGGTTTATTGGCATTTACATCCACCCACTCAACAAATATTCCTCCGGACTTCTACCTGCTCATGTGCATTCAACTCCCACTGGATATCTTTATCGAAATTGATTTCCAGATCTAATCATATCTGATCCAAAAAATCGTAAATTTCATTGTGATCTTCTTGTAACTCAAAATTATTGGAATGAAGGTCAGTTTTGACACACTGGAATGTTTGAATAAAAATCGATAATGATCATTGATCCGATTTGATCCCGTAGCGGTACGCTTCCGGAGCACACAAATGTGATGGTACACGCAAATATGTCCTGAAATCTAGCTGATCCCGAAAAAATATTTGGAAACAGCCACTGGTGGACCACCATTCTGAATCATGTTTTCATTTGCCATTCAATGTATAAATTCATTCACAATATCATATATTAATGATGTTTTTGATTCACTCACCTTCAGGAAACATTTTTCATTCGAGACCAATCGCACCACACAATGATTTATTTTTTTATGCCGCCTGAAAATAAAATAAGCAGCAAATTCGGCTTGTTCCTAGAGAATGGAGCACTCACAATCATAGTGGCTGGTTCTCAATCCAGCAAAATTATATTTTGATCCTTCTAAATTACTTAGATAATGCCCGTACAATAATGTTAGGGTACGGAGCGAAAAGGATAACAAAATCAATTACACTTGACAGTTCTCTGGCAGCTATCCCCCACTTTTTATTTCCAAATGGCACCCCCTGTATATTGTCATTGTAAATTGCGTGCCATCCTATAAGGAATACATAGCATATACTTGATTTTTTTATTATTATAATAAAAAAACAGCAACATTTAATGAAGTGTGAATTTCAACTAAAATAGCTTTAATGCGAATCAAAAAATGAACTAATACTCACAGCAAGTGTTCAAACTCATTATGATATGAGCAGCATCGGCTTCTTGAAATAAAAAACATGAGCGGAGGCAATAGGTATTCCATTTTTTAAAGGGTGATTGAGTAACTTAAAACAAGCCAAACAATGTTGATATTTTTGTTGTTATCAATAAAAAAATACCAAGTCTACGCTATTTTTTTATTCAAAATGGAGAGACACGTAATTTACAATGACAATATACAGGGGATGCCATTCGAAAATCAAATGTGGGAGGTCAAATATAATGGATTCTTTTATGCAAGGTGTTATTGAAGTATCTGACCAATCTACAAGGGGCGATTATTTGGATGATTCTATGACGGAAAATTCAAAAAAACATAGGTCCTGATATGCTTTGTTTTCAAGATCAGGGTGTTGAAGTTGGAAGTATTGATGATTATTTCTGATCTTGATGGCAAAATTTAATCTGGTTGGTGACTGAAAAAATCTCAAAATTTCGGAATGATACTCATTCATCAGGTCATTGGAAAATCCCAATAGGTGATTTGAGGGCACCTATATTGTTTGGAGACAAATCAATTTTTCATCATTTCCTCAGAAAGAAAGTGAAATACAAAAATTCGAGAATGAACAAGAAAGTTGCATTTTCAATTGTTTAATTCGATAGAAATATCAATCTCGGAAAAACCTATGACGTAGGTACCTTATTCACCATAAATTTCGAAAAGGTAACCGACTGCGACGCCACTGAAATCATTATTTCGAATCTATAGTTATACCAGAAAGTAGCTTCTTGATACTTTCAAATCACCAAGTTTCATTGAGATTAAAAAACACGATTTTTTATTGAAACTTTGTGGGTATCTTGAAAAGAAAGCATTTCTGAACCAAAGTTTACATGACTTTTTCGTCTAAGAATCAACCAAATAATCACATCTCTAAGTTTGGCCACTTGGATAATACTCTGTATGTCATTAGGAAGGTACTTCAATGCCATTCAATGAAGTTTTTGAATTTTTCAACTATCTTGTCAAATAAGCGGAATATATGCCTGTATACGATAACTTGGGACACCCGGCGGTTATTCAGTGACATTGAGGGTTCAGGGGCTTGTGTCCCAAAACGAAAGAAGAAATAGTTTAATATGTCCAAAGCCCAGACAGCACTATCATATTCCATGAATATCCTATGCATATTACGTTGGAATATTGGCATATGCTATGGATATTCCATGTCCTCCAAAACATGTGATATGCATATTCCAGGAATATCCAAAGTCACCATGAAACAGATACTAGGAATATCTGTGAATCTTCCAAGAGATATCGGTGGGATATGCTAGGAATGTGTTTTTTTTTATATGCATAGAATATGCTTTTCAATCATTACTAGAATGAAATATCCATATGAAATGTAATTTATTATGTAAAGGATAGAAATCAACATACAGGATGTAGGTATGTAATAGATATTTACTTTACTAGTCCGGTAAGTTTACCGGACGTGTGACGTATAACATTTTATTCCATACTGCTAAAAAACATAAATGAACAGTGAAAAATAAAATATTAATCTATTTATCTGCGTCCAGTAATTTCAGAATTTTGCATTCACTCTCAAGATAGCTGGCAGGTAGTTTCCTTAGAAACATAATTTTCGTTCGAGGGGAAAAACAGGGTATCTCGCATGATTCAACATGGAAAAAACTCTGTTGAAGTGCTACAACAAAAAAATGGGAATTTATCAGCAAGTAGCAACCCCCTAATAAATAATTCATCCAATGGAGCTCCTGGTATCCATAATCATGGGAACGAAAATTTAACGGTTAATATTAATATCAGCAATAGGTAATTTCTGTGTATTGTTTTGCTGTTGAATTTTCAATAAATGTATTCATGCTTTTGACGCATAACTGAGTTTTCAATATTTACAATCCGGTAAAATTTCATTACGAGATAGTAGCACGTAATGAAATATTACGTGCGCCTATCCTGTAAAAGTCTATTTTCCGGATTGAAATCAGGTACGTGAAGGTATGTTCTATGATGCAGTATGAAATAAAAAACTTGAAGCTTGCACTTTATATATCATATGATTTCCTTCTTCTCTTGATCGTTATAGCGGTGATGAATTCATCAGGATCTGCAATGATTGTAACATAGCAAGTTGAATATACCCTAACAACACCTCAGGGATGTCCTAGGTACGTCTCTTTTTTGTCCAGCGGTACAAGGACATGATTGGGGCATCCACCAACACGATTTTGTAATTTTTCACTACCTTGACTCCTTTGGCTGTCACTTGCGTGATGCGTATTTTGAATTTTTACTTATAATATCACGAGAGCTTCAATTATTTCGAGAGCACGAATATTTTGAAAATTCTGAATTTTCTAACCAACTCAGATGGTTTTGGTAGATTATTTGGCAAACGGCGTGTCTACCACATGTCGCAACTCAGATGTTGCCCTCCTATGGATCGTAACTTGGCTACTCGCTTGGCTTAATGAGAGGATTTTGATCATTTCACCACCCAACCATATTCATCCCCAAATGAAGAGTCAATATAGTTTTCGTATGAAATTAACATTTATTGATTTAATGGGAAAGTCGGCGTGAATAAATGCGTGCCACATGGCGAAGTAGCAGAGACAAACCATAGTGAATTACCAACCGGAACACAACACAAAACAACAATTCAGATAGAACATGGAAAAGCAGTACTTACATTATGACATCTAACATGGGGTTGACCAGCAGGATCAAAGTCGGGAGGACGGTACACTTTTTGGCAGCAACTCGTGAATTAGTAACTCAATTACGGAATAAAGTAAAGTGTTATCGAAATGCATTATAATTTAATATAATAATCAAATAGTAATGAATTAGTTATCAGTAACCAGTAATGAGTAAATCAATAATAATGAATAATCAGGAATGAATGGCTTATCTATTCGGAATCTATTTATATTTGGAATCGATGCTAACATTGCAATTTTCCGCAATGGCAATGCTCGATACTGGGCGTATAGCTTAGCCCGCATCGCAAGCTAAGCGGTTTCATGCAAATTTCAACGGAACTAGAGTTTATGAACTCCGCTTTGACCTGATCGAAACGCTGTACAAGATGTTTTGATTTGGAAAAGTTAATTTATGAATAAAGATCTAGAAATGAACGAAAGTTATTTCATAAACATTTGTACTTCTTGACAATACTATTTCTGATCGATCTTAAATCTTCTCTCATTGTTCATATTTCTTAACCCATGCGGTGATAATGCGTTATTGTTCATGGTGAAATCAATCCTAAAACCAAAGATAAAAGGAAATAATTGGTGAATTCGGAATTTATTATTGATTTATATTTATTTATAAATAATATGAATAGTTATCTCTCATTATGTTGGAACAACATAATAGTCGCATAAACTCCAGAACGAAACGAATACTGTGTTCGATTTCACCAAATATTACTTCCTATTATTATGATCAATTGAATATTTCCAATGATATTTATGCATATATGCTATTGCCCTTCGTAGTACCCCCACTCCGATGATTGTATACGTGTTTTTTTTTTCAGCATATGGACTAACTGAAACATCTCCATTAGTCACGTGGTTTCCGAAAACATATGCCAAAAATGAAAACGGAGGATGCATAGGAAAAGTAGTACCCAAGACTTATGTTAAAATTATCGCACCTGATGACCCTACAGGTGAAACAAAGTTTGCATAAATATTCAATCCATTTATTTATATGCCCAGTAGACCAAAACATGCAGCAACTTCATCACTGCTGCATTTCAAATGTGCCACTTTTTATCACCACAGACTTATATCAGTGATGCAACATCAGACTTGCACAATATATGTTCCTGTGAGATCACAGTGATGAATATGTATACATCATAGCTCTTTACATGGAGCATGCCAGAGACGTTTTTGACAAGTCTGTGCTCTGCATTGGCTCCATCTCTAACCATCAATAAATTTATACTGGCTTCACCAGTAGTTGTATCAATTTCAAATGCAACACCAAGATATTTTGAATATATTCATGGAATTTCAATTGTTGAAATTGAAAAGTTTGTGAAAATAAAAACAAACACATAGAGTTGCATTCAAAACAGTGAAACGAAAGGAGTAAAAATGTGATCTTTATTCCAATCCATGGACAATTTAGTCAACAAACCTCGAAACAATTGTAACATATAAATATGATGTATTTTTCTTCCATACTCCTTCATATAGTTCAGTCTGTGGGATTTTTACCAAAGAAGGGATCGAAGTGTTGTATTTCGTGCAAGATAGTTTATTCAAATTCATTACTCGTAGCAGAGCGCTTTTGACTGTTAAGTCATCATCAGTCATCAAATTTGTCCATAAAAATATCTCTGGTACAGTTTGAAACTATCGACATTATGGTAAAATACAGTATAAACATATTAAAATGTGTGTCCCAAAAGGGGGTAAAATGCAGATTACATTTTGTTAAGCAGCCATTATCGCTGCGACATGTCGTGTTGAAGTTCACTCGACTCGCCACATAAGACGAGTCATCATAGTGTTCATAAGATTCGATCGTATATGTACAGTGTTCGATCTATGGTCCTGGTTACTGGCGTAGAGATGATGAATCCGTCATCACCCGGCCTCCATACCGGCGTAGACATAAAAGCGCCTGATAATTTTAACACACACTTAATAAACTTCACATTAAATATTTGATAATTATCCAGATCAGCTAATTTTAGTAAAATTTTGGATTTTTACAAACATTACCCTGACTTCTAGACCACGTGATCGTCATCTGAACACTACCACGGTTGGAAGTCGAATCCTACATGGACTTCTGATTCAGTTTATATATTCAGTGAATGGTCTGGAGAAAATTATCATTGGAGCCTAAATCAGTAAGCCTGTCAAAAAAACCTACTGTGTGAGGGTATGGGTGTGTCCTTTTACTTTCTGTTCATGAAAATAAGTTATCACTTGGTCAGTAGTTCAACAATTGAACTCTAGCCTATCGGTTACAATGCCGAAAGATTGTCTCACTATACCGAGTGATTTTCCAAGCTTACCCCTGCTTTAACTTTCTCATTATTGAAAGTAGGTAGTAAAAATTAATTTGGGCGTTGTAAACTGTGGTTGTAAATATGATAGTTCAATTGACATTTTTGACATATCTACTTGCTTTTTTTATCTCTTGGAGCGCACGAAAGGAAATTCCAATATTGTTCGCGGAACATCGTGCTTTTCCGTACTTCCGGTTTGAGCGGAAATGACCCGAACTTTCGATTTTTAATTGGGAGACCCTGTATTTTATTCCATAATCGGTTGTGGATTATCATAACGATACTGGCTTTGATATGGTTATTTCAAACGATTACGAAGATATTCGCGTTAGAAGTTTTCATATGCTCAATGATGGGTGTGACAGTCGAAACTTCTACTTCTCTGTCACACTCATTGAGCATATGGAAACTTCGAATGCAAATATCTTCGTAATCATTCGGAATAACCCTATCAAACCTTGTATCTGTATCTGTATCAGTTAGGATACTCAATTCCTAACCGATTATGGAATAAAATTGTTAAAGTTGGGGTTATCTCTCAGCAAGTAGATATGTCAAAATAAGTCAATTGAATTATAATTCGCAACCTCCCAACCCAAATTTCGATTCATTTATTAGCTCCTTCATGAACTTTCAACCTACATCAGATTATTCAAGATCCATACACTTTCAAATGACAAATAATCGTTCTTTTATTGATATTTATTTTTATTGATGTCAAAATGTTACCTAGAAACTGGGAAAGAACCCTTGTAAGAATGATGATTCGATGATGCAGTTCTCTTTATTGCAAACTATCATGATTGCCAAAATACCTGGTATGCTTCTTAGGGACCCCACTGGGAATGAATCAATCAGGTGAATTGTTGGTGAAGGGGCCACAAGTAATGAGGGGCTACTACAACAGACCAGAAGAAACTGAAAAATCGTTTTTGAATGGCTGGTTCAGGACTGGAGACTTGGGCCATTTCAATGATGAAGGGTGTATGTTCATCACTGACAGACTGAAAGAACTTATCAAAGTAAGACACCCAATATAATATACATTCTTTCAATATCAAAGCCAGATCTTTGAGAACAAATTGAAGACAAACATGTAGGAATGCAAGATTCCGATTCGGAAAACATACTTATGATCTAAGAGTCAATAAATATGGACTTGACAACAATTATTCTCGAATGGGGATCCAATAACTTGGTAGATTTCGATGCAAACAAAACACAAGCATGCCTTTTTTCTAGAAAAACCGATCTCACTGTGCCCAACATGAGCTTGTCAGGAGTAACCATACCTTTGAAGATATCCATTTCGATGCTTGGTATCACTATCAGTAATAACCTTTCTTGGGAAAATCACGTGAGATCAATTGCTGAAAGTGCATCCCAAAAACTTGGTCTTCTGTTCCGGGCCAGGAGGTATTTCACTTCCAGTCAGCTGATTATGATCTATAAGGCACAGATCCGACCTGTCCTGGAGTACTGTTCCCATATTTGGACTGCAGCACCCAAACATACCCTGAAACTGTTGGATTCTGTCCAAAAAAGGGCAATTCTTCTCGTGTGTGATGCCTCGCTCACAAACTCACTTCTCTGGAACACCGTAGGAAAGTTGGCGATCTGGTTCTATTCTATAGATATTTTCATGGACGATGCTCTTCTGAAATATCAACAATTGTTCCTCCCTCGGCAGGCCCCGTGAGATTAACCCGTCGAGTTAAGGCTTTGCACCCCTTTGTGGTCACCTTGGAGACCTGCAGAACATCTCTTTCCGAAGACTCGTTCATCCAACGAACAGCAAGACTCTGGAACACGACATTGCCAAGGGAGGTGTTCCCCGAGGCATATAACCCCCAGAAATTTAAGAACAACACCAATTCCTACCTTATTTCTCTTGGTTCTCATGATGTTTTGTGAACATTACAGGATATCCCTTTTCGTGGACACAAGAACATAAAAAAAATATGATAACATGATCAACTGAATTTGACCGAAATTCCCATTTCATCTCGGGAAATTAAGAGCTCACGAGCAAGGTAATTTTTTCTCGAACACGAAAATTTTGAAATTTCTACCTCGTCGATTCAACGCTATCAATAAATACCTTACTGAAATGACAGCTTGAATTATCAACCTATAGTTGAATTCAATGCCACCAATAGTTAAACATTTATTTTCTCTACAAAATATCTGGTACCACCATTTCCACAAACTCCACCATGTCTTTTTTCGGTATTTCCATCAGTGATACTGTAATGATATTCCCCTTAAAGGGGCTCTAGAAACATCAGCAGGAAGGCAGGAGTACAACAATCATCCTGTAACACGCATCCCAGATCGTTCTTCAACCTACCAGTGACTCCTACATGCACCAGAATATTTCCGAACACTCAATATATGCCGCGGTGACAAATAACGTGACAGAAGATTCTGGAATGTTCTGGAAACAATCGATGGAACAATTAGAGGGAGAGGTATTGTTCTAAGAAGCTTCTTTGTAGAACAAAAAGAAGGAGACGGAAGATCATTCGAGAACATTCTCGAACCAAAGCCTACCAATGGATCTCATATATAAGACGGCCGAACAACTGCGTCAGTCAGTCGAACAGCGAGTGTCAGAGACACAGTTATATACCGCGTGATATAAATCATTTTACATAAATAGTAGTTATAAGTTCGATATAAATTAGTGTTTAGTTCAAATAAATCAGTTCGAAAATAAATAGTATCGTGTTCGCTTCTGCACCCGAATAACGTAACAATACTATTTCATGAGAAAATCACGTCCTATCTGAAATGGATTTTTTTATTAATATTTTTGTGATCCTCACCCAAAGGGTGATTGTCCTTCGTTTTCAGTTCGGACTTGTTCGGATTCTAGATTTCAAAAACATACAGTTGATCAATGTAAAACAAATTTGAATCAAATTCATCAGGGGGACCTTCCCCATTGCCATATTGGAATGAGATTATACAGGGTGGCCCATCGAAAACTTGACATGAGGGTTTTGGGTACTAATATCGTAGATCTGGAAAAACGCTCGGACAGGTCGATTTTAGTTTCGAGGGGGACATTGTGCCATCTTACATGCAGCACCGTCACGTCAACCCTGGAGCAGGGGGGTGAACAACCCTTGAAATTTGAATAGGGAATAGGAGTCGAGTGGCACATCGTTTGAAAGCCCGTTGAATTCTCGAAACAACGGTCGTCAGTTTTTCAACCGGAATGAGCCATAATTAAGTTAAGAGTAAAATTCACTTACATTATTCTCATCTTAACAAATGCTCGAAATGCACACCTCCAACTTCCATGCAATGATACAGATTTTGTAGGAAACGTTCTCGAACATTTTGGAGCATGTCTGATGGGGTGATTTGACGACATTCTTCTGTGATTCGTGAATCTGCTAGTTAAGCTGGTGGTGTACTATAAATTCTGCTTCTCAAATGACCCCACAGAAAGAAATCTTAAGGAGACACAGGTCTGGTGATCGTGGGAGCCATTCTATAGAACCTTGCCTACCAATCCAATGACCAGGGGAGTGTTGATCTAAATATCGCCGAACAGGCATAGCATAATGCGGAGGAGCACCATCTTGTTGAAATATCAACTGATCTTCCAGATAATGATGGTCATTTTCAATAATATCCGTTAACATTGGATCAATTGTGTCTTCGAGCAGTTCCAGATACATTTCCCCTGTTAGATTGCCTTCTAAGAAGAAACGGCCCACGATACGATCCCCAAAAATACCAGCCCATATGTTCAATTTTTGGGGATATTGCGTATGTACCTCATGAAATATATGGGGATTAGAACCAATATCGACAATCATGGCGATTAACTATGCCATTTAACAAAAACGAACATTCATCACTAAAACAAATGTTGAAAGGATACTGAGGATTTGCAATCGCCTGCTCACTTAGTACTTCACAGAATTGTGAACGCCGATCAAAATCATCTTCATTCAGTTCTTGTGTTAATTTAATTTTTGCTAGCTTTCTTGTACTCAACGTATGGTCAACCTCAACATGGCCCAAAATTGCCACTGTTGTCGCCTCATTTCTTACTGGCGGTTCGATTTGCCGTTTTTTATTTGCTACCGATCTCGTATCTCGGAATTTTGAGACTAATCCAGACACATACTGCCGCGACACAGTCCTACCATATTGTTGATTGAACCGTTCAGCAGCCCTTTTCGCAAATCTATTGTTTACATGATACAGTTCAATCAACCCAATCCTCTCTGCCACTGAATACACCACACTCACAAACGAGAAAAACAGAAACTGTATGCTCTATCTGTTTGTTCTATTTTATTACAATATTTTCATGGGTACCGCGAAAAAAACTGAGCAAAAACTCTCACAGTATCGTTGCAAATAAATGATAGATTGCAAAAACTTGCAAATGAGTGTTTCAGAGACGTACAAGTGAGCTCTCAACTATCGTACAGGTTTATTCCTGAATTTATTTTTTCCCAAACGGTTCATCCCAACTTCAAAATCAGGGCTTTCAAAAGATGTGCCACTCCACCATTATTCCCTATTCAAATTCTATTCATTGTTCACCCCACCGCTCCAGTGTTGCAGTGACGGTAGTGCACGTAGGAGAAAAAAATGTCCCCCTCGAAACTAAAATCGACCTGTCCGAGGGTTTTTCCACATCTGCGATATAATCACCCAAAACCCCGATGTCAAGTTTTCGATGGGCCACCCTGTATATATTTTTTTGAATGTCCTGTGTTGTAGGTGAAAGGATTTCAAGTAGCTCCAGCCGAACTGGAAGAGCTCATCAGGAGTTTTCCTGGTGTGGATGATGCAGCTGTGATAGGAATACCGAATCAGGCCCATGGAGAGGTCCCAAGGGCTTATGTCGTGCCCAAGGAAGGATTTGCTTTGAATGTAGAGGAAATAAAAGAATATGTTGCCATAAAAGTGACGAAATATAAGCAGCTAGCAGGAGGAGTCCAAATTGTAGACACCATTCCAAAGAATCCTTCTGGAAAAATTCTGAGGAGACTTTTGAAGCAGAACTATAAAGAAAAGGGAATTTAATTATCAAAACAAAAAAATCATCATCTGGTTAGTTAGTACTGGTATTTGTTTGGAATCGAGTTCAATCGTACTCCTGCAGATTAATACAGGGTGTTGCGAAATTCGACCGACAACGCTTGACAGGTGATAGCCCTCGTGATTTTATAATCACTGAGATACGGACATAGAGTCTTCAAGTGTTCTGTTCTCGAGATACAAGGCGTTGAAGTTACGAAATTATAAATAGTTTTTCCGCAATATCTCAAGAAGAATTGAATATAATGCATTCAAATTCCGTATATGGTTTGATCTTTCAATGGTTAATTTTTTGACCAGAAAGATATTCCGAGAATTTTATCCAGAGGTGCGCTACAGAGGGTTGTGATTCTACGCCACTGATGACATTTCGATTATTTCCATTTGCTCGAATTGATTGTTCAATTATGTTGAACAGGTATCGAGATATTTGACTCAAAACAGAAGTTTGCATAGTAATTTTTCATCTTCCTCAGTAGTAGAAAATTACAAAAAAAAATTGTTTTCTCTTTATGCGTGGAATAACTATTTCTGTTCAGCTACAGAATGAGATCTGAATAGTATCTAATCTACTCAACACCAGAAAAATATTTTTGCAATTTTCTACTACTGAGAATGATGAAATATTGCTATGCAATCTTCCATTTTGGGTCGAATATCTCGAAAACTGTTTATGTCAGCTCAGTTGGAGGTGATTTATTTTTTGAACAAAATTGGACAGTGAATTCGAGGAATTGAAAATAATCGGAATTCAATCAGTGGCGTAGAAAATATGGGAGGAAAAGTTGCCACAACCCCCTGTGGGGCACCACTGGATAAAATGTCCGGAATGGCTTCCTGGTCAAAAAATGACCCATTCGAAGAAAACTATTATCGAAGTTTAATGCACTATATTCAATTTTTCTTGAGATATTGCGAAACAACTATTTTTATTTCTCAACTTCAACGCCCTGTATCTCGAGAACTGAACAATTGAAGACCGAATGTCCCTATCTCAGTGATCATGAAATCATGCACGAGGGCTATCACCTGTCAAACGTTGTTGATCGAATTTCGCAACACCCTGTACATTAACAACAAATGATGATTGAAATCCCCCTTCTTCAAAATGTGTCAAACCAACTTTGTGTGTTTACAAAACCGAGATATTGTAAAAAATTACTCAACTAGATATTATTTCATTCTTTGAACCTTCTATTTGAAGAAACATCACACTATCAAAATAATACGTGCATTGACCATTCTAAGAAGAAACATTCGAATGTATCAATGTTTGTTTCATTAAGATTAAACAATGATGAGATTTTATTATATGATTTTTATTGCCTACTAAACTTCGATATTCTAACCAATGGTTATTATTGGAAGTACCTATATACAGGGTGTTTCAGTTTTTTGTAGCAGGACTTTAACAGCTTGAAGAAGACATTTTTTCAAGATGAAAATCTCGAACAAATATATATCCGTGGGAGCTTCGTTTCCGATTCACAGGGTGTCACAGTTTCAGATTTTTTTTATGTTTTTTGAATTTTCTCCTACAATTTTCGGAATAATTGATTGAAATTTGGTACACCTAATACACTTCAAAAACTCAATATTTGAGGCTATTGAGTGTTTTTGAATACCTACAGGGTGATAGACTTCCAGGGGTCGTACCCAATTCAACCCTGTAGAACTTTTTTGCGTGGCGTCTCTGCTTTCAATGGGACATAGATTCAGATTGTCTCTGCAATTTGGAAACTTTTTGCCCCCATGTATGTTTTTCGAAAACTGTATGAATTTCGAGATAAATAAAAGTGGAATCCGAACCACTTCTGAGGGTACTGATAAAATTAGAACTGCCGTTCACGAGATTAAATTATTAAAACACACAACACCTCAACCTTCAGAAGCGACAGTCTAGCGATGTATATCGCCTAGACCGTGTGTCATACAGTCCCTGATATCGAAAGTTTAACCAGTTTCAGTTATACAGGGTGTCCTAGAATTTTCTAAATACAATTTCCGATTTTGCAATCCAGTTAGAGAAGTTTTTTCAAAATAAAAACATGTTTTCTTTGTTTTTCCTAGTTTTAATTATAATGGTGTTCAAAAAATTCAATCTCATTTTTCAACTGAATTTCATTCGGTATGGAAAGTTTCGGTCATTCTATCATCCAATAAAATGTTTGAGAAATGTCGAATAAGTGTGTTTGAGAAATAACGGTTTTATTACAAGTCATTCATTTTTGGCATTTATCTCGAGATCCATACAGTTTTCGAAAAATTTACATGGGGGCAAAAAGTTTCCAAATTGAAAGGACAATCTGAATCCATGTCCGGTACGCAAAAAAGTTCTACAGGGTTAAATTGGGTACGACCCCTGAGAAAGTTTATCACCCTGTAGGTATTCAAAAACGCTCAATAGCCTCAAATATTGAGTTTTCGAAGTGTATCAGGTGTACCAAATTTCAATCAATTATTCCGAGAATTGTAGGAGAAAATTCAAAAAACATAAAAAAAATCTGAAACTTTGACACCCTGTTAATCGGAAACGAAGCTTCCACGCATATATGTTTGTATGAGATTTTCATCTTGAAAAAATGTTTTCTTCAAGCTGTTAAAGTCTTGCTACAAAAAACTGAAACACCCTGTATAACTGCTAATAGTAGAGGATCCCAAGTAAGGTCGACCTTCACTCATCTGCTTACAGGATGAAAATTATATTTTATCAAATAATATTAATTTTCCTAACAAGTGCGCAAAGTATTACTTTTCCGCACGTAAATATAGTTACACAACTTTTTTCTACCGGTAAAAGTGCACTTATTATGCGATGGGATTTTTCGGATTTTTTTTGCTGCTTACGTATTTTCGTCTGAAATGCACGAATTCCACGATGAAAATGTCAACAAACCGGCTATTTATCGAGCTATTTTACGAAAAAGTTCGATATTTCACCTTCTTTTTCCACCCATCTTGGATATTCATTTTTTCTCTCTTCTGAGTCTTCTCTTCCATAACTCATTTTCACTGGTCAAAAACTAGTGGTTAAGATTTTAGGGACTGAACTATACTACCACTACAACAATGATCGTAAGCGGCAATTAACTTCAGCAGTTCACCACTATAATGTGAATATGTCACTATGAACAATTTGAAGCACAAATATATATGGAAATAATTACATTGATTTTCAAAGAACCTTGAAGTTAGACCATCAGTTGAATTTGGGACACCGTGTATTTGGAAAATATGTGCTAGCGGAATAATGATATATTTCAATGTTGAATTGAAGCAATTTAGAAAGGATAGATATTGTTTGCATTATTTACTAGTATGAGTTTACATTTTTTGATTGACCAGTAGTGAAGAAAGAAATCCAAGAGGAGCTGAAATTCTACAGATTTCTTCAAATAGAAATAAGTTATAGTTTTCTTCACCTAATATGTACATATTTCAGTGCATTTCATGAGCTGAACCATAATCATCCAAAAATAAAAGATAGTTTTTCACATACATCATAGACGATAAATTCGAAGTATTTTCGTTCTTTAGAATTCATACTTGATGCTATCACTGATATAAGGATGTGCTATACTTGATATCAATACAAAATTGTGTAGAAAATGAGAAATTCTCGATTTTAATTGTATTTCTTTTAGTTCAGTCTACTTGCTGAACGACAAATTTCCATTGTGGAGTGTCTCTTTCAGAAGTTATTCAAAATAACATATCAAATATCGAATTTAAAATTTTCAAAATCTAGAGATTTCGATTACTAGGAGCTATTCTGGAAAAAACTTCTCAATCATGGTCGGCTATGAAAAAATTTAACAACGTAGAAAAACTCCTAAATTCTCAAATTTTCAGATAAGAAAGTGCAATTTAAATGTTAAGGCATGAATGTAATATTTTCCAATACTTTTGCTGGTAGTTAGTAGAGAGGACAACGGCAATGTTGACAACGTATCGTTGGCAACACTGCTTTTGGCGCTTTGAGAGACGATTTTCAGCCGGCGTCTACCGGAGGCAAACGAATTCGTTAATTTTGTGTACAAGATTTCAAAACGTCGGTAGCCAGCAGAAATATGAGGAAAACAGAAATGAATAATCGAGAAGACAAGTCAATTTTATTTTCAAAGGAAACACTAGAGATGTATATTTTTAAATAGGTCAATTTCAATGTCAAGGGGGACACTTCAAATGCATAGTTTCAGACCTCTTGGTTTAACTCCCTAGAAGGGGCAGATGTTACTCTTAGAACCTTAAGTATATGAAAAGGGCGTCAAGATGCACATTATTTCAAAGGACGATCAATTCTCTTTCCAACAGTACCCTAGTTTATGATTTTTTAATGAGCAGTTTTCGAAAAATGCCGTTCTAAACTCACAGAAGTAATCGGAACGTGCAACATCTTTGTATTGATGTAAAAGATGTGCTAGGAAATGTGACGTATTTCAGACTTATAGCTCGTGTAGTTAATAGGATGCGAAATTTTTTGCATCATATAATTATTATTCAGCATTTTTTATGTGTAACTGTTCAAGATTCAGAACTCTCGCCTCGTCAAACACTTGCTCTGTGAAGAATATTTTGTTTTTTAATAATATGATTTTTATGATTCTCTTCTGGGCTATTATCAGTTGGGATAGAACGGATTTACAGGTTGAGCCCCATGCAACAATACCATAGTTTAGAACCGACTCTGCTAAGGCTCTGTATACATTTATTACGTTATTCTTTGGCAACCAATCCCTAATTTGATAGAATTTGTAATACATTTTCCTTAATTTCGTTCTTACATACTCAACGTGATACTGTCACTTCATGTGTGGATCAAAGAACAATCCTAGATTATTTAGTTTTAGATACTAATGAGATTTTGTGAGTGCAATTACATTTACCAATGTCCTGACAGTTAGTGGTGTGAATCTTTATTGTGTTATTACAGGGTTAGGTTCCCTTAATTAAGGTAAAACACATGAAGTTAGACTTATCCACATTAAGCGTCAGTAAGTTAGTATCAAGCCATGTTTTGACTTTACTCATTGCTACTTCAGCTTTTTTATATAGAAGATTCCACGTGGTATCATGAAGCATAATAACTGTGTCATCTGCGTAACAGACCACGACATCTCCTCCACATTCCAATTGGATTCGATTATTTATATAGATGGTAATTAAGATTGGACCTAGCACTGTGCCCTGTGGCACACCACATTCCACCAGGCAACACTCACTTATGGAATCTTCAACTTTGACCTGCTGAGATCTCTGATTGAGATAGGATTCAAACAAGTCCAAGGCAATACCTCTAATCCACAAATTGTACAATGTACATACTGTCAAGTAAATTGCTGTGCGACACAGTGTCAACGGCCTTTGCCAAGTCCAAGAATATTAATAAGCATTTTTACCATGATTAGGATTTTTTGATATGAAGTCTATTACCCTGACCATCGTCGATCTAAATGAAAACCTAGTAGGCGACCTAGTTCGCGAGGAGGTACAATAGAATAGAATAGAATGGAATTTTATTTGACCAAGTTACAATTATTATGTTTTTAGCAACTCACTGGAAGTACGCAATGTTTTTCAGAAACAATTACAGAATAAAATAAAATATACACTTAAGCTATCACAAACATACATACAACATTCTCTCAAATCTAACGAGTCTAAAATATAAATTTTGCTGTTTTCGAAATGTAATCAACACAAATTATCGAGAAGTGTGGATGTTTTCAGATATTCATCAATAGAGTAAAAACAATGGGACAGCATGTGTCTTTTCAGTTTCAATTTGAAACATTTATAGTCGAGAATCTTAACTCTGGAGGCAGGATATTATAGATTCCAATACTCAATGAATTCATTCGGGATTTGTCTATATCGGGGAGGCCTCAAGTCGTTTGCTCCACTATGTGCAGTAGACGTGTTTCAGAAAACATACACTGATACCATCATTTCCTGTGCTATTATTATTGTTGGGGGAGTTTACTACTTCAATCATTTCTGCTTTTTTGATAAAAGATAAAAAGAATGACCCAACATTTTTAGGAGTATTCACATTGAAGTTTACATTATTAGATTTGGGTATTTTAATTGCTAACTTTTTGCCAACTTTGGAAAAGAAATTATTGAATTCATTTGCTATATCCAATTCGTCAGATATTTCTCTCGCCCGGTATATTACCTCGAGTAGAGAAAGAACTGATTTGCGAATACCCATAGTGAATTTTCCATCATATGCTCCTTCAATAAGATTTCGATTTGTTTATATTAGGAAATTTTAATCATTTTGCTGATGATTATATAGAATAATAAATACTTGACGACATCAGTTTTTTCCCTATCACATGCGGGTAGGCGGCGCTTATCATTCCTACCCTAACGAGCCGCTACTGCCCAACTCTGACTGCTAAAATACTGAGAACACAATTAAAAGTATTATCTCCGAATATTTATGAATATTTGTGATTGTGATAATGATCATTGCAAGACCTATCAACAATTGTAATATGTTGTTTTCAAACACTCATCCTCAATCGCGCGTGGGGAGACCATGTCTCTGTCTGTGATAAGACGTGCTTTATCAATCGGGCAAAAAACAGATTTGAGAAAACATTTATTTTCGAGTTCGAGGACCCTAGTCACTACAGATAGTACAGATCCGAATATTCTGAGGAGCCCATTTAGTGATGTTGTTGTACCCGATTGGACCATATGCGAACTGGTTTATCCAAAACTGGAACTATACCACAAGTACACTGCTGTAGTAAGTGAAATGCCCAGCTCACCAAACCATCTCCACTATTTTACACGGTTTTCATAGTTGAATTCGTGATGATATATCATGTTGATTTTTGTTTATCTATTGGATCACAAAAAATGAATTCCCTATTATGTATACATCGTACGTAGGTACATGGGATAGATATGGAGAGGCATTACAATTCGGCCGACTGGGAAGATCTTCGTATGTTTTTTTCAGCGTTTCCATGGGAGAGAGCTTGTTTCTCCTCAGCAGATCCAATTTCTGAAACCATCATGTTTGGGATGCAAACCAACATACCAAACACTGCAAGGAGGACATCTTCCGATAAGGCCTGGTTCAGTAGAAACTGCTCTAGAGCTGTCGCTTCCAAACAGGCAGCATTCCATCGATGGCAGAAAAATCCAGGCCCTGAGACTAGAGAAGAATATGTCGAGGCTAGAGGCATATGCAATGAGACAATTCGATCATCAAAGGATGCTCATAATGCCAAAATAAGATCAAGACTTGTTGAATGTCGTACCGGATCCCGTTCATTTTGGTCCTTCACCAAAGCTGTAGGAAGAAACTTCACTCCCAGCTCGTTTCCTCCTCTAACCAAGGAAGATGGAACACTAGCCACAACTGCCTAGGAGAAAGCCAACATTTTTGCGCATTTATTTGCTGGAAACTCCACTCTGGATTCATCGGGAAAACAACCTCCAAACATAACGCCAACGATAGGCAATATGGCTTCCGTCATCAGAGATCAATAACTGGTGACCTGCTCGCTTACGTCTCACATATATGGCAGTAATCTATTGAAAAATATGGTGAAACCTTAGCCGTAGCACTTGATATCTCCAAAGCATTCGATCGAGTCTGGCAACACGGACTCCTCGCCAAACTCCCATCTTATGGCTTGCCTCCCCAGCTATGTTCTCTGCTAGCTAGTTTTCTCTCGAACAGGTCTCTCCATATAGTGGTCGACATAGTTTTATCTGACTCTCTTACCATAAATGCTGGTGTTCCGCAAGAATCATGTCTAGCACCAACACTATTTCTACTCCATATCAACATAAAGCTTGTCAGGAGTAACCATACCTTTGAAGATATCCATTTCGATGCTTGGTATCACTATCAGTAATAACCTTTTTTGGGAAAATCACGTGAGATCGATTGCTGAAAGTGAATCCCAAAAACTTGGTTTTCTGTTTCGGGCCAGGAGGTATTTCATGCACATCCAGTCAGCTGCTTATGATCTATAAGGCACAGATCCAACCTGCCCTGGAATACTGTTCCCATATTTGGAGTGCAGCACTTGAAAATACCCTGAAACTGTTGGATTCTGTCCAAAAAAGGGCAATTCGTCTCGTGGGTGATGTCTCGCTCACAAACTCACTCACTTCTCTGGAACACCGTAGAAAAGTTGGCGATCTGGCTCTATTTTATCAATATTTTCATGGACGATGCTCTCCTGAAATATCAACATTTGTACCTCCCTTGGCAGTCCCCGCGAGATTAACCCGTCGAGTTGAGGCTTCGCACCCCTTCGTGGTCACGTTGGAGACCTGCAGAACATCTCTTTCCAAAGACTCGTTCATCCAACGGACAGCAAGGCTCTGGAACACATTGCCAAGGGAGGTGTTCCCCGTGGCATATAACCTCCCCAGAAATTTAAGAAGAACACCAATTCCTACCTTATTTCCCTTGGTTCTCACGATGTTCTCTGAACATTACAGGATATCCCTATTCGTGGGAACCAGAACATGAAAAAAAAAAGTTCTATGATCGAACGAGTTACGGTATAACATTGTTCGACCAACCTCAAGGTTGACGACAGAGGGATATTCTTCCTACTGAAACTCTCGTTCAGATATTTCGGTGTTCTTTCGACGAATAGTATATACACTAATATAAAGCGAGGGTCACAGATTAACAAAGCTTAGTGCGAGGCTTATGCATAGTCATTATACCCTTATCCTCCTCTTGCGTCTTCTGGTACTGATGGAATTCGCAGAGATACCCTTGATTAAATATTATCAAGGCTGGTACTTTTCTGCTGTTAGTTATGTTCCAGGTGAATTATTTTGCGTCAACAACATTCTTATCATTTGAATCTTCATTAGTAAGTATCGTTATCTCCATGTTTGGCAAGAAAAACCATATAATGAAGCTCAAAAGCGATGAAGCAGTCAACATTCTCGTATCGCATTCCAAGATAAAGTTTTAGAATCAAAATAGTGAGATGACAGTTGTACAGGGTATTTCACGACGAGCTGAGTCAGGGTGGGTTGAGTTCTATGATAGCTAGAAACTTGATTCAAAAACGAATGTGAATGAGACAACAAGGTCCATTACTATAAATTATTGCCGTATATACCGGGGCACCGGAAAAGGGTCAGGATCACTATTTTTGAATGGAATGCCCTGTATATTAGCACATTTTTTGAAGCATCCCTGTGACCTACAACACCTCCTATAATATTTTTGACTATATGTCTCGATCATTTCAAAGTGATTGATTTTTTTGTCGAAATAATGTCATCTGCAGATGCATACCGAAAAAATCAATGTAGTCACAATAATGCAATTCAGGAGAGAATATATGAGAAAATATGCGTGATATGTCTCTAAAATTGTCATGCCCTCAAATTATACAGGGTGGCTAAAAATGATTTTTCAATTCGGAACTTGGAAGTGATTCTTCTCGAGTTTCTCAAATGGAATACCCAATATATTTTGAGGCCATTTGGTGTAAAATCGAAACACTAACATCTTTCATTTCAACATCCACATTGCTACAGGCGCTTGAGGAAGACCAGTACCATACTGATCATGTGCCTTTTGACCTTTCGTTATGTTCTTTTTTAATAGTTTTTAATAGTTTATGGACTCTCATTCTGTTTTTTTTGGAATGGTCAATAAAATTACATATTATTATATATTATTATTATATTCGTAACCATTTTTGAGTTATTGAACTTCGAAAATCATAGGTTGGCCATTTTCATTGACACAAATTCTCATCTGTTATTGAAACATCACAAGTCCAATTAATAATTTATTAAACTTGTTTTTCCATCGAAAGAAAATCGACCCTTCTGTATATAGTTCACGAAAAGAACTCAGGACTATAGGACTAGGAAGTTATGTTTGAAGTATTTCATCAGTTTTTTCCAGTACAAAATGTGTATCTGCTGGTTTTCTTGATTAGAGATTATGGTACTTTTTTCAACATTTCAAAATTCAAGATGGTGGATCCAATATGGCTTAAGAGTTTTGTAATAATGATGCGATTCTATTCAAAATTGGTATCTGGGGGTTTTCGAGGTCGGAGATGATGATTCTTCCATAAAATTTGCTAAACTCAAGATAGCGGATCCAATATGTCGGACGAGTTTTGTAACTACATGATTATGATTCTTTCGTCGAAATTTACAAATTCAAGATGGCAGATCCAATATGGCGGACGACTAATTATGATCCGAATCTACTGAAAATTTGTATTTGGAGGTTTTCGGGGTTGGAGATTATGATTATTTCGTCAAAATTGGAAAATTCAAGATGACGGATCCAATATGGTCGAAGAGTTTTGTAATTATATATGATCCGATTCTATACAAAATTGGTATCTGGGAGTTTACGAGGTCGGAGATTTTGATGTTCTTGTCAAAATTGAAAAATTCAATATGGCGGATAATCCGACTCTATTAAAAATTAGTATATTTTCGTCTTTCGTCAAAATTGGGTACAAAGAATATAAGAACACTAAATAACATGCTTTTGTAGTAAACCGAACTGAAAAATAGAAAATAAATAGCAGTTCAAAAAACTAGAGGAACACCCTTTTATAGTTGGCCAAACTGAAAAGAAAAGATAGGAAAATAATAAAAGTGTGTTGATAAATACACAACATAGAATGTACTGAATAAAAAGATGCTATAATATTTTCTATGTTGTGTATTTATCAACACAATTTCAATATTTTATTTTCTAGTTCTCTAAGTTTGGCTATCTATAAAAGGGCGTTTCTCTAGTTTTTCAAGCTACTATTTATGTTACAGATATCAATTTATTATTCCAACAAATTACAAACAATGATTTTCTTTCTCGATAATGGCCGCAGATGCGTGAAAATTACAAGAAACAAAACAGTTGGTAGACAAAACAAATAAACCATTTCGTATTTTTTTATATCTATCAGTGGCGCACCCCAAAAAAGTGTATGCACCCAGACAGCACAAACTGATTCTAAGAACATTCTTAGAATATTCCCGTAGAAGATTTCGAATATTCTCAGAATGTTCTCACAAGGTGCACTGAAGGTTCTGAGAATATTCAAAGAACATGCAAATGGGACGAAAAGTCAAGTTCCAATAACGTTCTCATAATATTTTTCAGAACATTTTATGATTATATAGAACATCCTCATCAGAACGATCTAGGAATATTCTTAGTATCAGGGTGTTAAAAACACCCGGTATAATTGAAAGGGGTCGACTAAGTCGACTTGAGAATCACCTTCTGCATGCTAAATTTAATGAAGAAGTACTTTCAGGAATGTGCTTCGACTGGAAAGAGTTATACCTTCGGCCAAATCCGTATGAAAAGCAGAAATTTCAGCAAAGCCCTGAAGGAAAAGCTGAAACTCAGAAAGGGGGATAGAGTAGCGATTTTAGTGCACAATATTCCTGAGTTTTCGATAGCAACATTTGGAATTCTTGAGGCAGGGTTAGTGGTTACTACCTTGAATCCAGCATATACTCCAGGTAAATATGTTTTCCCTGTATATAGGGTGATTCATGTGTGTACAGACTTATCTATCGAAAAAGTCCATCCCTATATTCACTATATTTTGTATCGAGAATAAAAAGTATTATAAACGTCCTTTTAGTAACGAGTATATAAAGCAAGAGCGCAGCAGAGCGGAGCGAGTGTTTAATAAACGGGAGTCTACAAGAGTTTATCAACGCGTTACATACTATACTTTTTTTACGAAATCATAGATGACCTTGATCGAAGAACAGAATTCTGCGGAATTGTGCAATTATGCAATTTTTGATAATTCCTCTCTTCGACAAGATCATATCCCTAATAACACAATTATGTCCCAAGGATATCCTTAGGACGTTCTGTCCGGATATTCAGGACGTCCATAGGACGTTCGAATTTGGTACCGTGGACGTCCAGTGGACCTCTGTGGGACGCACAAATGTCCCACTCGAGGTCCAACTAGGGACGTCCTTGAGGGATGTCCCAGGAACACCTATCGAATACCTAAATCCTACAGTATTCCTCATCAAGCACTACGAAGGACATCCTTAAGACATCCGTAGGACAACCTCTATCAGCAACGCTGAGGGATATCAATTGGACGTCCATAGGATGTCCGAGGAACGTAAGAATTATTCTTGAATTTAAGGTCCCTCTAGGACCAAATCTTGCATAACTGATGAGGACATCCAGTTGAGTTGATGGTCCGTAGAAGGTCCTCAATAGATCCTGAAAAAGTTTCCCAAGGATGTCCAATGGATTTACTTGAAGGTCATTGACAATTATAGCCTACGAGCAATCATTCGTCGTGAGGTGTAAGTTAACGTCCACGCAGGGACAATATATTGACTAGACAATTTATATAAAAAGGGCAAGTCTGTGTTGAACCTACGTTTTTCGAAAGTTTCTAAACCTGTGCTATTTTGGATGTTGTCATAATCATGATTCCAATTTATTCCCAGTCTGAATGCATAATGCCTGAGAAATTTTCTCCGTATTCCTTCAATTGTCCTGATATCGACACTGTATAGTAAGTACACCATATCACAGAAGCATATTCTAAGCCTGACCTAATAACCCAGTAAACACAGAATATCCAATGGATATTCATATGATGTCCATGCTTGGTCCATATGGACATGGACACTGAATGGACCTCCAATGGATATCCGTTAACCACTAGTACAATGGACATCCGTTTAGTGACATTCACTGTACGTGAAGATTTAATTGAATTTCCTTTATACCACTATTATATATTATACCTTTTGTCAATCGATCAATTCTTTATATCCGAATAGTGAGTTTATCATGTTCTTAATTTCATGTGATATAAAAAAAAAGAATTTGAAGGCAACAGAAGTTTTGAAGCGGTAGGTACACTCGTCTTCAGAGATCATGTCGCACATGGACGGTGTCAGCTCCCTTGATCACCGCTGCAATAAGAACGCTCATACCGCCAAACCGCGACATGTTCGCTGAAGACGAGTATACCTATTTTATTGGCAGAGGAACTGCGGAATATGCCCACTTGAATGAAATGTCTATTCGGAGTAGTGAATACGGCCCAGCATTCAGTGGTTTCAGAAGAATAAATAAGTTTCTGAAATCATTATTAGACTGATATTATAATCTCATTCTCCATGAGGCTTACTCTTCCTCTATAAATATTCTGAACATAAGTACGTAAGAAGCCTAATATATAGCCAGAGGAGTAGCGTACCTGCTTGATAAGTCAAAGATTTCATTTTTACGATATGTCCATCACCTGGATCGAAATGGACATGCATTGGATGTCCAATTTAGTGGCAAAAGGATATCTGATGGATATCCATTGGATGCCCATCTGGACATAATCGGACGTCCAATGGATATTCGTAATGTCCATTGTGGACATCCATCGGACATCCATTGTATGTTCGTGTGTTATATGGAAAGTGCACAGTATAATAATTTCAAACTATTAACTGACATATCCTTTGTGTGTCATAACAAATCCGCACAGACACTATAGACACTATAGACACAATACGGAAATCCAATGGACATCTTGTGTTATTAGGGTTCTATTAGAGAGCAGTAGCAGCTTCAATATTTTGAGTGGAATAAATTGATTTCCTACGAGCGAGCGGAAAAATGACTTTTCCGCGTATTTTTTCGTTTTGAAAGTTGTACTTTTCCGCATTATTTGGAAGGAAATACCAGGAAACATGTGGTGATAACTGTTGGCACCAGAACGTACCCATAGCGACCAATCTACCTTCCTTCATTCAGCAACAAAGTTTTTTTTTTCGCACGACCAACTACACTCAGTTCCAAAAAAAATGACGCATTTCATATTTGACCTATCTTCTTGAAAAAAAAAATAGTAGGCCGTTTTTTATTTTTTTTTAATCAGGTAATGCATTTGTCTTTTAAAGACCTATCAACAAAAAAATAATAAAAAAATCGGCCTACTATTTTTAGAAGAAGATAGGTCAAATATTAAGTGCGTCACTTTTTTTGCAACTGAGTGTATATGATCCATGTAACTATTCTGTCTTATGTGTCATTTTGTAGTATCATTATAAAATATTGTTTATTAAAAACCTCTTTTTTTGCCGACGCGTGCGGAAATGTACTACTTTCCGCACTTGTTGGTAAATAACTATTGAATATTCTAGATGAAATCGAGAAACAACTATCAGATTCAGGAGCCAGAGCCATCATTACACAGGCTAGTACTTTCAGCAAAGTGAAATCTGGCTTGAAGATGATGGATTCTCAAATGCCCATCATAGTTATCAAAGAGAAGGTAAGATTTTCCTGATATTTCGAAGTAAACTGGAAATTTATAATTCAAGTTTTGTTGTCTTAAGAGGAAGTTGTACTATGATATAAAACAATGATGCAATAGTTTCGTAGTCCCTAACTTTCCGGGGTCATTTTTCATTTTGAGTGAATGAACAAATTTGTACATATTCGTGAAGATCTTATCTATGTTCTTGTCGTCTTACTTTTTCGAAATCAAATTATCAATTAAGGCGGTTTGAGTAGAACCCAATGATGATTTCAACTGCCAATTGTCAGTTTGAACTGGCAATAATTGTTACTCCAAAACTAACCTTCATTACCAATTTCGAGTAGTAATATCATTTTCAGTAATTTCGCGGTGATATTTTAGATTCAGCTGATCAAAATATAGTGTTATACTAAACTTATTCAATAATAATAATAATAATAATAATAAATCGTCTTTATTTATGTGATTCCATAATACAAAAAATTATATAAAGATTTGTACAAACATTTGTACAAAGAAGAAAAACATTGTTCACTGTCCAGCAGGAGGCGAGATTTAGCCTAAGGCTACTCTTACATCTAACCTCTCACTGTCCAATGGGCTTATATCACAAAAAAATTTTATTTCATAATTCGATAGAACTCACCCAAACTAGCTCACCACCGCAAACCGTTTTTTGCTGTGAGTTCCCTACGTTCTGTAAAAAATTATTGAAATCCCCGATTTTTCGGACCTCTGAAAACGATGCGATGATGTGACGTCAAAACCCTCATACTGAAACAAGACTATTCCAGACAAAGATGAATGATACATTATTTCTGACAGAGTGAATTAGCGCGAGATCACAGTTGAAAATATTAATATATCAGTTGCCTCAGTCTCCGTCGGGCGTTTGGTATTTTCATTTAACTATGGAGATGAGGTTTCTACGTCATAAGATGAGGGTCCGTTTTCAGAAGGTACTATCATTTATGTCCAAAAATAAAACATTCCAGTTAATTTTTCGATCTAATTATGTCATCATTCATTATTTATGTATAAAAGGATCATTATAAACATGGTTTGAGTTAAAAGTTCTACTAAGGTGTACACGCCCATTGGGAAGGTGAGTCTACATTACTTAGAGAGAAAAAAAGAGGATGTGTACATAATATTCATATTGAAGAGCGTAACAATACTCATTGTGAAGAAAGTAGCTCATGTTTAATGAACTTTCGGAAGGAGAATGGACCAAGGCTTTTTTTAATGCGGTCTGGGATTGAATTGAACATTTTTATTGCATTATATGTGAAACTTCTTTGATAAATGGCGGTCGAATGATGAGGCATCGTTAATGCATTGGGATGTCTTATATTAACTGAATGTATGCTGGATCTCGGAATCAACTGGTAGGGACTAACATCTGATTGATTCCTAAGAAGTTTATAGATGAATAAAGCTAAGTGAAGTCTCCAACGATTTTCCATAGTGAGCCAGTTAAGTTCATTTAGTTTTTGAGATATGTGATCATATTTACGTAACCCATGTATGAACCGCACACAAAAATTCTGTACCTCTTGAATTTTGTACTTATAACTTCCATCAAGGCATGGACCATACAAAAAATCACAATAAGCGAATTGGGACAAGACCAAGCTGTCACATAATGTTTTGCGGAATTTCAAATTCAACACGTACCTATTGCTGTATAGAGTTTTTAGGGAGATAAATGTTTTGGTCAGAATGTGCTTAACGTGATTTTTAAATCTGAGGTCATCGAATACCAAACCTAAATTTTTCGACGAGTGGACAATACTTAACGGCTTATTATCAATACTCATGTTAAAATTCGAACAGATCTCATCATAATAATTTTTGGGAGAAAAGACAATAACTTTTGATTTAGAAGAGTTCAATTTCAGATTATGAGCCCGACTTTTGTCAAATATTATGTTAAGGTCATAATTTAACCAATTTTGGGCCTCCAAAATATTGTCTTTAGGAAAGTTTATGAAAATTTGGGTGTCATCGGCATACGCCTGAATTTTACAATGTTCTATAGATCTCAGTATATCCGCCGTATAAATAATGAAGAAAAGGGGACCCAAAATGATGCCTTGTGGCACTCCTGCTGTCATGTTTACACAATTTGAGTGACTGTCATTCGATACTATTTTTTGTTTTCTCTCTACAAAGTAAGATTGTATTAATTCCAAAGAGTCAATCGAGAATCCATAGTATTTAAGCTTAGCAATCATGAGTTTATGGTTTATAGTATCGAATGCCTTTGAAAAGTTTAAAAGTGTCAATATGCTAGCACATCTTTTGTCCAAATTGGAGAATATATCATCAAGAACTTGCGTTAGTGATGTTGTTGTACTCAGGCGTTTTTGAACTCCAGACTAGCATGTCGGTATTATTTTATTATTTTCAACATGTTCAAGTATTTGTTTGTATAGAACTTTTTCAAAAATTTTCGAGAGGCAAGGTAAGATACTGATAACACGAAGGTCTGAAAATTCTACTGGAATGGCGACTTTGGGTAATGGGCGACCTAAAGAGATTTTCCATAGTGCTGGAAACTGACTTTTTTCGATGCCATAATTGATGAGATGTGTGATGAATGGATCGATGAATGGGCTACAGTATCTAAGCATTGTAACACAGATGTCATCAATTCCATATGCTTTCGTTTTAATGTCAAACAGAAAATCGTGCACTTCATTAGTTGTTTTCAATAAAGAAAGCGGAAACGTTGCTAATTTTTTTTCTTCTCAACTATGTTCATGACTTTTTTGTTATGTGTATTTTTAGCAAGCAGACAGCCTACCAACTGGAGCAATCGATTTCTTTGAGTTTGCTGATACAGTAATCAACGTTCCAGATATCGAACCTGGACATACCTCTGATTTGGCTTTTCTTCCCTACTCTAGCGGGACCACCGGCTTACCAAAAGGTGTCGAACTTACCCACAACAATATAGTATCAAATATTTTCCAATTCAACCATAAAGATTTATCTTTCCTCAGCCCTCCTACAGGTGAGAAACATTGAATTTCAGATCTCTCGTATTGCTTCTCGTATATTTACGAAATGAAAATTTCATACAAATATAATTATTATCCAAAAAATACCGTGCTTATATGCTTATCTGCTTTTTTGCAACTTATTGGAATAGTTTAACTGAGTAAAACTCCATTTGAAAAATAAATTTTTTACCACTAGCCATAGAACCTCTACCATTATTCACTATACTTATCAAGGCGTGAAATGTGTTTTTACTACTAATGTACTTTTCGTGATTTTATGAACTACTAGACTTGTCAATACAGACATAGCCACCTCTGTTGATTAACAGAACTTTATTGATTTGATATGTAGTGGCGAAAAAGAATCAATATACATCTTGTTAGTAAAGAATACGAGGACGAGGAGAAAGATGACCTTGAGATAGACAACTTTTGCAATTTTGAACCTTGAAATTCATGGTAAAAAGTCCGTAGATCTGGGGAATAATCTACTTTCCTCTACATAGGCTCTCATGGGGCTTTTCTTCATGCAATACTACTCTCGTGCGCTCCTAGCGATAAAAAAAAGGATCTGGGGAAAATGATAGAATTTTAAAAAATGCGGGGGAATCGGCATAGCATAGTCACTGTAACTCCCAAACTATATCATTCATGACATCCAGTCATGTCTCTTGATGTTCGCAAACATAAGTAAGATTAAGATATATGACAGATCGTAAATGCGCATGATTCATGATCTCCAGTTCGATATCGTGAATGAATGAGCTTTGATATGGCTTTGATCCTATGACATCAGGTCATTAGGGGTAGGGTTAAAAATTTAGGTCGGTGGTAGGATCCCATCATTACTAAAGACAACAATATACTCGATTGTTTATACCAATGTCCATTGTTATCAAGACTGCCATAGTATAATTCCGATTTGTACTAGACAGTCTTCGGAAATATTGTACTAACGAAACACCAAGCAAAACCCAGCAATAATGTCATCTACCTCTATGATTCTGAGATGAAAGATTTCTTTGAAAAATTCACAACAGACTTCTGAACCAATTTTGTTTTTGTGCTAGATTGTTGTGAATTGTACTGAAGTTATGAATCAGAATTATAGTATACGAAAAATGGCAACCAGTGGCGAAGTTAGCTCTCCAATTTTGTGGGGGCTCTAGCCCAGGGGCGTAATTTCAGTGGATACCAAAGGGGGGGGGGTGGAAGGAGCCTAGAAACAATTTTCGCACAGTAAAAAATGCGCCACAGATGACATTTTTTTGGGGCTCAAGGTCAAAGGCCTTCAAATTGATTTTGGTTTTTCACAAGGTGTCACTGTTTAATAATCTGAGAATACTTTTTACGATATTTGAGAGATTTTTTTTTCATCACAGTGACTTTTTTTAACATTCTATACCTGGTTGGCAACCACTACAAATAGGTATTTTGAAATAATACTCATATTGTTATTTGTATAATATAAAACCAAAGATAGAAGATTCCGAAGGATCTAGGGAAATGAAAACTGTTTTGATAACGAAAATGAATAAATTTCATATAAATATAAATATAAATAAAACAGGATTCAATTTGGAATCATCTTTTTGTAGATATATCGTTATATTGGAAAATATTGAAACTACTTAGCAACTACATTCGCACGAGTTTTCTTTGGGGGGGGGGGCTGTATCGTAATTTAGGGGGCTTAGCCCCCCAAGCCACCCCCACCCAACTTCGCCACTGGGCAAACTTTGTTGGTCATCATAGCCCTATAGTCCATAAATGAAAGTATGGTATTCATTGGTATATTTCTGCACCTGATGAATTTTATTTTCAGACAATTTTCAAGATGTCATTCCTGGTATACTACCACTATATCATATATTTGGCTTCTCCATCTCTGCGGTGAATTCTACCTATAATGGGTCAAAATCGGTATATATAGATAAGTTCACTCCTGAATTATTTATCTCAGTCCTGAAAAATCATCGTATTACCGTTCTGTATGCAGCACCACCCCTAAGTAAGTTAATATAAGTATGTTGGCAAAATGCATCAGGAAACTTTTGATGGGAGTATCTACATGATTAAATATTGTTTTTTCTGTGACGGGAAAAAAAGTTTGGCATTTTATCTCTGTTGGAAGGTTACGAAATGTCACTTTTCATAAATTACTTTTTTCCCACGGGTAGAAATTAATAAAACAACCACTGTTCGCAATTTTTTAAAATCAAAACAGAATTAAACTGATGACACATATTCTATCATTTCAAAAGGTATCAATAGCAACAATGAAGATGCCTACAAAAAGATGCCTGCAAACACAGGTATACTACCATTTAAAAACTTAAAATTTTCTATGGAAAATTTCACACCAAATATTTTCGATCAATTTAAAGCCTGTATTTCGTATCGTTACCATAGCAACTGAACAAATTTCTTGGAAATTTTTTCCTCCTCTTTGGGGGACGGAGCATGAAATTACACTGGAAATTTTTTGACGTTTATAGGTTAAATAACATTTACATTCAACTTCAGATTATTTCGAGTTCATTCTATAATAGACCGTTGGCCCATAACACTAGGGGTGTCGATTATCTACGCAGGTATGCCCTTCAAGAGACATGAAGATTGAGTTGGATTATCGGGAAAAAAGTGGTTAGTTGGATCGGTAGCCGGTCGCCCATCTCCCTAATCAATCAACTTCCTGTTGAAAGTAATGTTGAAAATTGTATTATAGAAGAAGCTTTAAAATTCATTGGAATAGTCGCATCTCGCCAAATTAACCGGGCGCTAGCCGATTTGCATACGTCTAGGTCGGTTCCGAAGGGCGGCATACGGACCCCAAGTTACCGTTAACCGACATTTCTCTCAGATTATTTACGATGGTATGCCCTTTGGTTAATTCCTTCATTTCGACCCATGAATCAATGCCATAACATTTGCATACAGTTTGGGTGGGCGAATTTAGACTTATTCGAAGGTCACTTTACATCATTGACCTGTATGTACAAGATTATCTACGAAGCTCCCAAATTTTGATCAAGGTTAGTTAAGCATAATCTATGCATGGAATAATGAATTGCATACGATTTGCGAGTTGCGGGGATTACATTTAGCCCAGTAAAAATAGCAAAAATGGCGGCAAAATTCGTTCAACACCCTGTAAGAGCTCAAGATATCGACAATCAAATTCTTTCTAACTTTAGAACTTACACAAAACTCGTCCCGATTTACCCGTTTCGAGTTATTCGAGGTCGAAGTTTCGAAAAATCAGTTTTTGGTTCAAAAACCACTAAGAAACTAATTATTATGTCTGTACGACGCGTCTGAACTGCCATCCTAAAAAAACTTTTTTTTCACGGATATTTGCCTAATTTACTGTTGATCTCCTAATTCACAGTTGCAACTGTAAATTAGGGGATGTGTAAAAAAAAAGTTTTCCCTTCCTAAATTACAGTTGCAACTATTAATTATGCAAGTACTCGTGAAAAAAAAGTTTTTTCAGGATGGCAGTTCAAAAGCGTCATAGAGTTGGCCTAAAAACTAAAAAAATATATTTTCAACTCAAAACTTGAAAGAATATGTATTTTTTTTAAATTTTGATCTTGATCTACAGGGTGACGTATTACATAAAGGAAACGAAATACAAGGAAAAAACCGCAAAAATGCGATATCTCAAGTTTTGTTCTTGTGATTTCTGGAAATATTCTCTCAAGGAAGCTATGAATCAATTTTCAGTTACACTTTTATTGACCGGGCGGCCCGAGCCTTCGAGTAACTGGGCACACAGCTCACGCGGTATATGGCTGTCTCTCTGACAATCACTGACCACCTGCTGTCCTGTCGTCCTTATATATCAGATGATTTGGCTGGCTATATGCTTGTCGAATGTTCCCGAAAATCATCGGTACCCTTCTTTTGTTCTCGAAGCTTCTCATAGAAAAGTCTCTCTCTCTCTCTCTCTCTCTCTCTCTCTAATAGTTCCATCGATTGTTTTGAGATGTTTCTGTCGCTGCGACACATTTTGGATGTTCGAAAATATGCTGATTCATGTTAGTATTATTGGGATACTCGGGAACAATCTGATACGCGTGATACAGGAAGATCGTTATACGCCTTCTTGATGATGTTCGAGCCCCTCTCAGGGGAATATTACAATATCGTTCATGAAAATAACAAAAAACATGGGATCCAAAATTGATCCTTTGAGAACTCCCATTGTAACTCCAAGAGGATCAGATTCATAGAATCCAACAAGACTATCTGCCGGTTCTGCAAATGAGATGCGCCCCCTGACATCCCCCCTAGAGTCATCCTCTATCATTCCCGGCCCCCGGCACTAGTAGTAGGTGCCAGATTCGAGCTTAGTGACCCCGAAACCTCCCTGAGAGCCCTTGGCACTCGATTATCCTGGAATTTCCAGTTTCAACTTTTTAATATTAGAAAAACTGAAAAAAATAGACTCCCTATAGCAAAATCGACGTATGCTCACAATACATTCGTATGCAAACGCTATTTTCTTATTCAGTTTAACTGAATCTATCACCTGATTGAATGGCATACAAAATTATATAATCTTGATATGTATAATCGATGTTGTAAAGTGACCTTCGAATATGTCTAAATTCGCCCACCCAAACTGTATGCAAATGTTATGGCATTGATTCATGGGTCGAAATGAAGGAATTAACCAAAGGGCATACCATCGTAAATAATCTAAGAGAAATGTCGGTTAACGGTAACTTGCGGTCCGTATGCCGCCCTTCGGGACCGACCTAGACGTATGCAAATCGGCTAGCGCCCGGTTGATTTGGCGAGATGCGACTATTCCAATGAATTTTAAAGCTTCTTCTATAATACAATTTTCAACATTACTTTCAACAGGAAGTTGATTGATTAGGGAGATGGGCGACCGGGTACCGATCCAACTAACCACTTTTTTCCCGATAATCCAACTCAATCTTCATGTCTCTTGAAGGGCATACCTTCGTAGATAATCGACACCCCTAGTGTTATGGGCCAACGGTCTATAAGTCAATAAATAAAAATCATTCATCAACAGTTTACCATATAATATTATGTAGATATACTTGCAATATATTAATATTTCAGTGTGAATTTTCTTACCGAGTACCACTTTAGCTTCAATTAATATCCGGAAATTTTTTCGAGAACACGAATATTTTGAAAATCCTCCCTCGTCTTCGACTCGTGATATTATAAGTGATAATTTTCTGATTTTATGATAATTTTTTTTATCGATTGGAGCGCACGAAAGGGAATCCCTATAATGTTCAAAGAACATCGTGCGCTCCTAGATTTTATCTCTCGGTTTTTTTGTCTTTCCGCTCTACGCGTAGGGAGCAAAACCTCGAGCTAGATTGTAGATGGGTCGTATAGGCGAGAGACCTCTCGATCACTGCGACCTAGAAGATCTATTGTGATAAAATCTAATCCTTATTCCCTTGTGTAATAAATAATCATTTTTATGCACGACCGGGCGTAAAGTAACACTTAACCGCCCGTGGACTATTGCCCGGCGTACCGGTAACTCGAATAAGCATTCCTATACAGGGTGTATCTAAATAACACCGATGCTATTCATTCATTCAATGCTATTCCTCACTTTGGCCATATATTTTTCGTCGTACATAAAATTATTAAAATGTATGTATTTTGGGCGTAACTTGCTATTATGGACCTTGCCGTGTTACTTACACGCTACGGTCCATAAAAGCCTATTTTACACCCTTGATACATAAATAACTATTCTAAGTTGTCTAGCAACAACTCTGATATTTCAAATAGAATACCCTGTATTTTATTGCATTTTTAGATTCTTCCTGAAGAGCTGAAATTCATATCCACATCACACTTGATCAGAATTCTGAATCTGGAACCGCCCAGTATCTGTTCCGATTAAATATCAGTAACTAGTAAATCAAAAGTTGAGATAGGGACATGTGAGCCGTTTTGACCGATGATGAATAGTTTCGACACAAAAAAATCCTAAAGTTGAAAATTCTCGACTTTGAACACGCTGATGTGATGTTTCGATGAGATCAGCTCTTCAGGGAGAATCTAAATACGCGATAAAATACAGGGTGTTCCGATTAATTGAAATATCAATGTTGCTACTCCTTTCTAGTAAAAGCGGCAACACTGCATTGTCGAAAATATTTAAAATAAAAAGAGCGTATTCTGAAATATAAGCATGCACATTTTCATGGATTTCTCCCGACTGATTCTCGATATAAAGATAGTGTAAGCTCGTCGTGACATACCCTGTATACAGGGTCCGGCAGAGAGGACGTACCTATATTATCAAAAAATCATAATTTGTAGGTAGTATCAGTCCTGGGGTAGTACTCCACTTCATCTTAAATTTTCCTGATACAGTTTGTGTATGTGTGTCCTCCATATAGAGGGTGTTTCAAAAACACCTAACCCCCTTGCTAGGGTAGGTAGAACATTGCAAAATAGGTTGGGTTTGCTCAGTGAAAAATGTAACACCATCCGTTTTCAAGATACCAAGGTGTTGAAAAAATATTTTTTTCAAGGTTATGTCGAAACTACTGGCAACATTGTGATGAAATTTTGTATGGATGTGTTCTGAAAGCTGACACACCGCATGAATTTGTTTTTATATCTGACACTCGTAGAGGGCGCTAGTTACACGTTTCGTACCGAGTACTTTTGAACATAACTTGTTTGAGGTTAGATTTTCCAGTCCAAATTCAATGTAAACTTGAACACCATTCAATTTTACACCAAAATGATGCTCTTGGTAAAACTCGATACTGTGTACCGTTCTCGAAATATTTCGATTTGGAAATGCCGAAGCAATAACTTTGATTCTGGTATTAGAATAAGTATTATAAAAAACAATTATCTATTTAATAAGGACCAAAAACATTAACATATTATTTTACTGCTGAAGATATCGATTGAACAAAATCGCATCAGAAAATATTTAATTAAATTTGACTAAAAACATCATCTAGTTAGAGTAACTGTCCAAAATGTCCTCCGTTTTCACGAATACACAATTCGATACTTTTTTCTAAAGAATGCATCAATCTTCTCAACGGTTGAGGATCAGCTATGAGATCATCGAAGTGATGTTTAATTCTTTTCCGTCGACCTCGTATTAACGACTAAGTTTAATGTATATGAAATCGTTCATTAATGACCCCAATTAATGAACGATTTATCTATTAATGCACGATTGTGCTATAGGCAAATAGGAAAATATGGATTTCATCGAAGATTTTTTGTCAACGGATTCGCCTTTCCAAGTTTCTGACACGATTTTGATCCTTGTTTTTTAACACAAGGAATTTATTTTCTATGTTGATCATTTTGACAAATGTCAAATGTCACTAATGTCAGTAACAAGGCTACTGGGTGATTCTTAGCAGTTTCCGGATGAATGATGGGTTCGCGAACCAAGTTTTCTTCATTGCAAGAGAAATGAGAAATATACTCGACGAAAAATTTTTGTAACCAACTTGTATATTAAAAGGCGATTAATGATCTCGAACATTAACGCGCTCGCTTCGCTCGCACGTTAAAATATCTCGATCATTAATCGCCCTCATTAATAAACTAGTTGGTTAAATAACTATTCTTGCAGCTCTTGACGTGGTTATTAATGAATAAGTAACAGTCTGTTATAATACTTACTTTCAACTAGCGTCAGTGTTATACTTCAGCATTTTCAAATCGAAATATCCCGAAAACGGTACACAGTATCAAGTTTCACCAAGAGCACCTTTTCAGTGTAAAATTGAATGATGTTCAAGTTCACATTGAATTTGAAGTGAAAAATCTAACTTCAAAAAAGTTATGTTTAAAAGTACTCGATCGGTACGAACCGTGTAACTGGCGCCCTCTATGAGTGTCAGATATAAAAACATATTCATGCGTTGTGTCAGCTTTCAAAACGCATCCATACAAAATTTCATTACAATGTTGCCATTTGTTTCAACATAATCGTAAAAAATGTGTGAAAAAATATTTTTTCAACGCCTTGTATCTTGAAAACGGATGGTGTTACGAAATTTTTTTACTAAGCAAACCCAAATTATTTTGCAATGTTCTACTAACCCTAGCGAAGGGGCTAGGGTTTTTTGAAACACCCTGTATAAGCAGATCTTCCATTGTTGAAGTTAATTAATTCTTGTCTTCTAGTTCTGTTCCTTACTTCACATAAAGATGTTAAAAAGGAATATTTGAAATATGTCAAGATGGTGATTTCAGGAGCAGCACCGTTAGGATTTCTAGATGAACAAAGGTTCATCGATAAATTTGGTTCACATGTTAATATAACGCAAGGTGAGCTAAAACCATCGTCCAATGGGTAAAACCATTGAGTATTCACACTATAATCAAGGGTAAAACTTATACCTATATCAGCCTATATTTAGTGTTCAGCGACTGGTGTCCCAAAATGAAAGGTCTCGATGAGTCATATCAGTATTTACAGTTATAGGTTGAATGATAGATCTCATTTTAATTAAAAAAGTTTATATAAACATGAGTCCGACCTCGATCAGTAGCAGAGCTACGGAGGGTGTCAAATTTTAATAATATTTTTCTATTAATTGAAATATCTCGCTCACTTTTGAAGATATCAATTTGAATGTAAAAACTTCACAAACGATAAGATTTCCTAAATACTGTTGTATGATTTTACCAAATATTACTTTCTACAATAGGCGTGTACACCTTGGTTGAACTTTTAACTCAAACCATGTTTATAATGATCATTTTATACATAAATAATGATTGACGACATAATTCGATCGAAACATTAACTGGAATGTTTTATTTTTGGATATAAATAATGGTACCTCCTGAAAACGTACCCTCTTATGACGTAGACGTAGACGTTGAAAGAAAATACCAAACGCCCGACGGAGACTGAGGCAACTGATATATTAATTCTTTCAACTGCGATCTCGCGCTAATTCACTCTGTCAGAAATCATGTATCATTCATCTCTGTCTGGAATAGTCTTGTTTCAGTATAAGGGTTTTGACGTCACATCATCGCCTCGTTTTCCGGTCCGAAAAATCGGGGATTTCAATAATTTTTTATAAAACGTAGGGAGCTCACAGCAAGAAACGGTGAGCTAGTTTGGGCGAGTTCTATCGAATTATGAAATAAAATTTTTTTGTGATATAAGCCCATTATCATGATTTCATGAAATATTGTCAATAATATCAATATTCCAATGTATATTTTATAATCGTTTTTGAATAAACTCATATTATTATTTTATTATTATTATTATTATTATATGTATATGCTATTACTCCTCATAGAACCTCAACTCCCGATAATAGTAGATATTTTTTCAGGTTATGGACTAACCGAAACGTCTCCATTTGTGACGTGGTATCCAAAATCAAATGTCAAAAGTGAAAAAAATGGAGGATGCATAGGAAAAGTAGCATCCAACACTATTATAAAAATTATTGCACCTGATGACCCTACAGGTAGAATTAAATTTTCACAAAGTTTAAATCCATTTACACCATAGATTTGTTTATCTTGTTCAATGTTAAAGAGACTTCTTCCTTGTATTTATTTTTTTACTATAGGCCTTTTCATCTAGATATATTTTTGAGACGCATGCGCTCGTTTTTAGATCCAAAAATGTATTGGGTAATGCGAAGGTGGAGTCTCATTGGCTATAGTTCCAACACAAATTGCTGATTGGCCATTTCGAATATGGCGGGTATTATTGACGTTCTATCAAATGTCAACAGTGTCAACCACCATGGGCATTCGTCATAGAGAAACAACAATAACATAGTATTTTTGTTTTTATATTCTTGGTGTGTATTAATTGTATCGATCATGATAATTTAATTCCAAAAAACTGACTTGCTCGTTACTGAGGAGTGTGGTACTATGGTGTAAGTGTTTCGGTAAAAATGGCCGCCACTGTCGTTGGATGCGAGATGTAAACAGAGATAGGCATTTGTCATCTAAATGAAAAGGCCTATTGATGGCTTCTTCATGAAATTTTAGCACCCATCAGAGTGTTTTAGATCCATACACTCTCAACAGACAAAATAATATTCGTCAAACTTTTTAATAGTTTGAGCAATGATTCATTGAGATTTTAGAGAATCTTTGTAAAAACAATGAGAAAATGATGCATCCTGAAGTTAAGATACCCCACTTTTCTTTATTGTTATCCATCATGGTTGCCAATATACCTGCTTCGTTTTTTAGGTACCCCACTGGGAGCGAATCAATCAGGTGAATTGTTGGTGAAGGGGCCACAAGTGATGAGGGGCTACCACAACAGACCAGAAGAAACCGAAAAATCGTTTTTGGATGGCTGGTTCAGAACTGGAGACTTGGGCCATTTCAATGAAGAAGGGTTCATGTTCATCACTGACAGACTGAAAGAGCTCATCAAAGTAAGACACCCAATAGACAAGCATTCAATATAATATAATCATTGAAATTACAAATAGCATAGATGAACCACAAAACTTACATATCATTAAGATACCGGGTGACCAGTTATATTCTGACCCATTTCAAATGCTTATATCTCTGAAACCATTCAAGTTATCGTTGTGCAGTTTGGACTAGTCTATTTTGATATTTTTCAAGTTTTTTTTGACAGGTTCACCTTCTCTCTTGAACATCCGGTTCTACCGGAAACAAACTAGCCATTATTCAGGTATGGGGCAACTTTTTTATTTCATCGAAGCACCCTGTATATTTTTGCACATTCAGAAAGACTGGTCTTTTCTCTTTCTAACAATGTATAACAAGTTATGTTTTCTCAGAAAACTATCAGAGTTATTACTGTTTGAAACAACTACTGCATGTGGAATGGTTTAATGAGATTTTGCAATGTAACCAAAGTCGTCTTTGGAAATCCTGATCACTGTGATCACAACACATGAAATGCCAGATTAGATGTGTCAAATAAAGATTGTCGAGCATTTGTACTTTCTTCGAGTTGAAAAAATGTTTATTGACTGAAAAAGCAAATGAACTCATCATAAATCTGCATCAGATTTATACTCAATATACGGTAATACAGCATTTCAGGATAACATCCTAATATGCAGTAGATGCTTCAAAGAGTTATAACTCTGATAGTTTTCTAAGAAAACATAACTTGTTATACATTGTTAGGAAGAGAAAAGACCAGTCTTTCTGAATGTGCAAAAATATACAGGGTGCTTCGATGAAATAAAAAAGTTGCCCCATACCTGAATAATGGCTAGTTTGTTTCCGGTAGAACCGGAAGTTCAAGAGAGAAGGTGAACCTGTCAAAAAAAACTTGAAAAATATCAAAATAGACTAGTCCAATCTGCACAACGATAACTTGAATGGTTTCAGAGATATAAGCATTTGAAATGGGTCAGAATATAACTAGTCACCCGGTATCTCAAAATAAAAATACTCATATTATAGTGATCAAGAAGGGAAAAAAAAAGAAACAGTGAAGAAAAAAAAAAGAAAATTCATAGTTTTTCATATGCATATAAACATATTTCTTCACTTTATTTTTGAATTGTATATAATAAACTCACCGGCAAAATAAACCGGCCACCAAAAAATCTGCCCAAATTGTTCAGCCTGTAACTTTTTCAATCCTTGCCCAATTTTTGTGAAATTTCGATCAAATCGTAGATTCATGTTCCGGAATGTTAGCCTAAATATTAGTTTTCCTGAAAAGCTGATGACTTGATCATTATACAGGGAAAAACCAAAGTTACTCTTTCACCCTATACTTCCCAACGCCCTGTGGCAAAATTGCGTGATTGAACATGGCTTCATTATGCTTCGGATTGAAGTGTGATCCCTTCTTAACACAAAAGTTTTTGATTCACTTCAATATCTTATTATTAAGAGAAGGTACGAGTGTTTTAAGGAAGTATGGCGTTTTTCAATTTTTTTTACCAATAAACAGAACTCATATGAACTTATTGATTAACAACTTCAAGGATTAATATCACATATTTCTACCTCACTTTCTTAGCACTTACCGGGAAATTAATTACAAAAAACAAACAAGAAGCAGACCTGTAGTCAATAACGAGTATGCTCTCCTCCATATTGAATTGCAGCATTCAACCGCAGTGACATCGAATTGATCGAATTACTCAAGTAGCCTTGAAGAATTGCCTAAAATCCTCCTTGAAGGGCGAATCGTAGCTCTTGAAGAGTATCTGACAAGGCTGGTCGAAGGCGAATGAGCCTCTAGAGGTCACCCCTAAGATAGGTAGATAGGTTCTGAATTATTGTTATTGACAATTAAAAAAAATATAATTTCTTGAAACACTTGTATCTTCTCTCAAAAAGGACATATTGACGTTATTCAAGAACCATTGTATGAAGGAGGAACAAAAGAGGATCACACTTCAATTCAAAACATGATGAAGCAGAAGGTTGGAGAATGGTTCTGAATTATTGTAAATGAAAAATTTAAATATCCATACTCTCTTGAAACACTTGTATCTTCCTTTAAAAATTGGTTATCGACGTGAATAAAAAACCATCATGTAGAGAAGAGATCACTCTTCAATCTGAAACATAATGAAGCTAAGTTAAACCACTCACCTTTTCCACAGGGCGTTAAGAAGTTAAGGGTGAAAAAGTAACTTTCGTTTTTCCCTGTATAATGATCGAGTCATCAGATTTTCTTAGGAACTAATATTCAGACTAACATTTGGAAACATGAATATACGATTTGGTCATAATTTCACCAAAATCGGACCAGAATTGAAAAAGTTACAGAGCAAACAGTTTGGCTAAATTATTTGGTGGAGTGTATTTGGGCTGTTTTTGATGTCATCTGGTAATTTATTGAATTTCGAAATCACGTGAGGACATCGAAAATGGGACAGCCTGTACTGTGTTGTAGGTAAAAGGATTCCAAGTAGCTCCAGCAGAACTAGAAGAGCTCCTCAGGAGTTTTCCTGGTGTGGATGATGCAGCTGTGATAGGAATACCGCATCAGGCCCATGGAGAGGTCCCAAGGGCTTATGTCGTGCCCAAGGAAGGATTTGCTTTGAATGTAGAGGAAATAAAAGAATACGTTGCCATAAAAGTGACAAAATACAAGCAGCTAGTAGGAGGAGTCCAAATTGTAGACACCATTCCAAAGAATCCTTCTGGAAAAATTCTGAGGAGGCTTTTGAAACAGAACTATAAAGAAAAGGGAATTTAATCATTGCAAATTATTGCGAATGTTTTTTTTGGCAAAGGTGTCAGTAGGGAACAAAAAAAATCTGGTTAGATAGTAAATGAACAACAAAAATACAAAACAAATAAAAAAATTAAATGTAAGAAACAATAAACTGTTGTAACAGATGTATATAAAAAATTTAATTTGATCTGAATCAGATGAAGTATTGTCCTGTTTTGGTTTATGCATATCATTTGTACATACATATAGGTACATTCATTACTTATTTTGTTGAATCAATTTAAACAGCAAGCGTGAAGAATTATGATTATGAAATGTTTCAGTAGTTCGATAGATCAATATGCAAATCGGGGGATCTACGGAGAATTTTGTGGAACTGACAACCCTGCAGCGGACTAAAAGTGTTTGCGGACGAAAAGTTAGTGTCTGCGGATGAAAAGTACTCGCCTTCGAAAATGGTCGGTTTCTTGTTCAGAAATTAGAACGTGAAATGTGATTTTTTGTAAAGGCCGACAAAAAAAAATTGTGATGATTTAAAATCATGAATAGGTATTTTTATGACTGTTTAAATACTTTCGATACCTACATGGAATGTTCAAAACATGATAGATATATGGCGTAAATTCAACTAGTGCGTACAATGGGGAAGACCACTGAGGGAAGAAATCCGTGCAAACCTCTTTCAATCGACGAATCATGATTTGCGTGTTATGTACAATCAATATTATGAGTTTAAGTTAAAGGGAATCGAATCTATATCGTTTTGTTGAAATCAGCATATTTCATTCGATATTTCAAAAAGCCAAATATGATGCCCAGATAACACACATACATCCATTGGATGTCCATTTTGAATCCATTAGGTAGCCGGATGTCCATGGATGTCCAATGGACATCCATTGTGTATATGTACAATGGACATAGAGATTTGTACATACAATGGACATCCATTTTGTAGTTGTACAATGGACAACGAAATTTTTACAGCCAATGGATATCCATCATACTTATCCAATGGAAATCGTTTCGCAAAGTATATATGTGTCATTTATGACTCTTCTATTTCAATTGAAATATTTTTACCAATAATATATAATATATATATATGACCATTAATCACGGACAACTTCGCACTCGGTACTATTTTTCAAGATTTTATACGTCTCATCATTTTTGTAGGTTACGTACCTATATAGAGGTATAGGTACTTATTTTGAAGTTGATTTTCATCCAATTTCAATTTTAAACCATTAAGGCCGTGCAAATAAGATCGATATGGGCAAATATTATACGGCGGGTTTCTTTCGAAAAAGATGAATCACCCTGTAACACTTTTGATAAGGGCCGTGTAAAAGCTTTATTGCGGCACTAAACTTCAGCAAATTGCATTTTCTCTCGATGTGAAATACCGTGAATACGAAATACTTGCTATAATATTTATAACAGCTCAGTGGTCCAGAGGTTAGCGTTGTGATCCACGAGAGCGGGGTCCGGAGTTCAATCCCCTCAAAGGACAACTTTTTTTTAATTTCTACGTTCTGGCTGGACAAAATTTGGATATCCAATGGAAATCCAATGTATTCCTGATGAGTATCCAATAAACTTATCATTGGAATGGACATAAGTTGGATTTTTGGTAGACATCCATTAGAGTTCTGATGTGTATACAATGGTATTTCAAATGTAATGGACATACAATGGATCTTCATTGGGAATCCATTGGATGTCTGATGAGTATCCAATAGACTTCCAATGGAAAGGACAAATATTGGATGTCCAATGGAAATCCATCAGATGTCTAATGGAAAGCCAATGGACTTCCAATGTATGTCCAAACTGTTGGACATGTATTATCCAATGGATGTCCATTGGACAAATACTGGACAATGCCGTCCATCCAATGGATGTCCAGGGTATCCATAGCTGGACATCCATTGGTTGTCCAATGGATTCACTTGTGTTGTCTGGGTGGTGGAACCGTGACGTATTAGTCCCGAACTGTAGCTATCTCTCTCAGATGCCTTGCCATTCTGCACTGTTGCAGTGTGATTGGTCAGCTCAAGGACAATAGGCGTGTTGGGACTCATACGTCGCACCAGTCGTACCAATCAATTGACACCATTTCAAATGGCGCAGGAATTGTGTGTTTTGAAATGGACACATTCTAATTTATTTTTTTCATTGTTTTAGCATGAATGAAAAAATTCAAAATTAATTCACTGGTAGTTTTTCAATATAGAGTTCCTCTACTTGAAATACTTTTTGTCCGACAACTCGAAAACTGAAATATCAGATTTTGGTATCAGAAAAAATCAATCATTTATCTGTCGTCTGCAAGTACATACATGCCAAGATGTACACGTTTTTGTGTTTTTATGACATAGCATCCATGTGTACCCGTTGGTGGTCCACTTGTTGATTTCCTCCTCAATCAAAAGTATTTAGGGGTTAGCAGCAGAATTCCTCTTTCACATGAACTTTGAATCATGAGAAAATATGCATTTGTTATTGAATAATTTGTCCCCCCGCCGATGTGTAAATACACGGACTGTGCTCTCCGGCATACAACACAGAAGCTCATTATTCGAGGTGCGCTTCGTGCCGTTTTTCTCGAAACCGGGCAAATTTTCGAGAAAAATGATGAGGACCATTTCTGTAGAAAATTAACTGAACTTCAATTTTTATTTGAACCGAAAATCTCTAACTGCCGTATTTTAGGAGATATTGGCTGAAAACCTATTTTCCTGGTCTTTTGGGGCCATTTTCTCCGCCATCGCACGCGTTTTCCAGTCAATCTTTGTCTAATGTTTAATGAGGTACCAGAACCTACTTCCAACCGGAATATGAAAATAGTGCGTAATTAATGTTAACTTTTTCCCTTTATTTATTGGACTAATATAGGTTTTCAGAATGAAAACCCTCCATCATTATACGTATTCCACATTCCACATAACCCTTTTTTTATCTTCATGTTAGCACTCTCAATCTTATAACTCTTGTAGATTGTACTTATCACTTATTTCAATTTTAGGACATTAGTGTAATTTCTGATGTTAGGCTGAGGATGGACATATATATGTCCGAAACATCTACCAATTTTAAATGATGTGTTAACCAAATTAAATGTCGTGGAGATGACTTTGTGTATCATTTCGTATAGACCGAGCCATGGACCATTATCAATAAAGATCAATTTATTTAAAGTTTCTCCCAGTCACAACACGGGAATTACGTCATCATGCTTTATTTGTCTGATGAAAGAGATAAATACTTATATATAGTAAATAGACTTTTTTTGTAAGGTATATACCTCAATATCGATTCTAAAGTATTATGTATCACCTCTTAAGAAGCAAAGAGACAGAGACTCGCTAGAAAAAATAATGTCGCAGCTTGTTAGAAATATTCGTATGGAATATAATTGAATTGCATTGATTATTATTATATTACGTATCCAAACAATACGAGAGCATAGCGCGAGTGTGGTTTACTAAAGAAACCGATAATCATCAATAAAACGAGTTGTATTTGTTAAGATTATTTCACCCGTTATTTCATGAATAAAACAATAATTTCACGTCGTATTTTCATTGGCAGTTGTTGCGTTTCGCAACTAACGATGCATCAAAGAATTCAATCTTCCAAATTGACGACTGTCATTTCGTCGTTGGAATTTGAAATGCCGATATACCAAATTAGTCTAAAATGCTTCGATACAAATCAAAGGATTTTTGTAAAAAGTTTAGTGTTGGGTATTATTCATTCCTGCAGGTGCTGGTAAGTCTTTTCTATTTTTGAATAGATCAATGTGAAAATTGACACATTTCAACAGTTTCTCAACATCATGCTGACAATTTAATTTTTTTGCTAAAAAAGTGCATGATATTTTCAATAACTGATTGAAGGCCGTGTTATACGGGTGATTCAAAATTCGATGTAAATAGTTCGAGGACGTCTTGTTGGGATCCAAATAAGACTTTTCCTTCACATAAACATACAGGGGGATTCAAAACTAAGCGGCATCCTTTCAGGGGCGTATTCCTTGCATGAGAATAGGGCAAAAAGATCCTGATTGCAAAGGTCCGAAAATGCTTCCTAAGAAGAATAGAACACTTCAAAGACGATTTTTTTTCAATAACTTTAAAATCCTTCACAATAAATTTTCGAAAATTGGTGTACGGCAGAAATATTTGATGGTGAATAGGAGTCTGAATTCAAAATTTCGAAATTTCATTCAGGAGCGTCACATGCGGGGAAGGGGAGGTGTGAAAACATTCTTCTTTTGATATTCAGGTTAAAGTGCAAGTCGTATTCCAGTACTGCACGCCTCTGAAATAGCAGTTTCAAATGCGCTCCGATATACGATCACCTGGTATGCAAGCGTTTAACCCATTGCGTTCGAAAATGATGTCATGATTTCCCCTTTCGTTGATGAAGATTTTCTGGAAAACGGTTAGTTGTATGAAAAAAATTGCAAGTGATTGAATAAATTTTTTTATGGCCCACAAGACCATGCTATTCAGAGTCAAAGTTTCTCTCTTTAAACATGAAATTTGGACCAATCAAATGTGGACATCCCTTGAACTCCCCCAAAACTGGGTTTACATCATTTAAGGAAATATAGTGTCTACGAAGATTTTATCCGTTATTTTAGTCACAGTTTTAGATAATCTTTTTTTATCTAACTTACCGTGGCTGTAGCATTTTAGGACACATCTTTCCATGAAAAAAGTGTTATGTTGATCCCGACATTAGGTCTTTGAAATATTTACGTCGAAATTTGAATCACTTTGTATTGCAATTAGATACTTGAGATGTCAGGAAATGAATTGAGTAGGTACTACACATTGAAAGAGAAATTGAAATCGGTCAGCGAATAAGCAAACACACAGGTGGCGCAAAATGATACGAACTTAGGCAAAACAATTTATTACATCTCCCAGTATTATTTTCACCTGCTCATATTAGGTGTGTCAATGCTCAGTATGTATTTCATGCAACACCCTGTATAAAAAGTTATCATAATTTATAGTGAAACTTCACGAAAACGTCGTGCAATGTTTTCACGTGGGGAAAGTGTTATCTATAACAATGTTAGAAGACTTTGGACCCTAATTTGATATAATATGATGTGTATTATACCTAATCATTGTTTACAACTTTTCGAACGATGTGAATTGCCAAGTTAATGAACGTGTATTTATTGCTTAGAAGTAGTGTAAGCAGATAATTTTTGTTAAAGTATGAAATCTGATCGGAAAATTTTCTAGATCTGAAATTTTTTTATGAATATTCTGCTTTATCACGTTTCACCGTATCTGGATATGTTGTATTGCTTGAGATAATATAAAGGGTGTTAGTGAATAAATGCGGCAAACTCCAGGGGGTGATTCTTCCTAATATTTCAAGAAATAAAGTTTATATAAACATCTGTCCGAACTTGCTTCGTTTTCGAGATCAATATTTCCATGAAAAAATGTTATTTCATTCCTTACTCAAATGTCTTCTCATCAATTCCAATGAAATTTGCTGGTTTTGTTAATAGTAACATGGAGCTCCTTTTGGTGTAATTAGATTCAAAATAATATTTTCAGTCGATATTTATGGTGAATATCATTGTACGCCACTGGGATTATTCTTATTTGATTGAATTATTGAAATAACAAC